TGCGGGGTGATGTTATCCTTGTCAAAGGCCCGGTAGTCGATGTAGACCCCCTCAGAGAAGTCTGACTGGGGGAATAAGCCATACGGCGTCTGTGGTTCCGATGGATGCAGCAAGGAGCCATAATCCGAGGCTTGCTTGGCGATGGTGTATGGAAGCTTGCCCGAGGGGTTGGCCCGCCCGTAGAGAATGTCTACCAAGGCATGGCCGGTGTCCTGACCTGGCAGGTGTGCCAGGACGACGGCAGTGACATTCTCATGATCAATCCAGTTGTACACCAAGCGAATGCCAGCGTTGTGGACGACGACAATGGTGTTGTTACACTTGCTTGCTACATTCGTGACCAAGGTGTCGCTGTAGTCGTCCGTCAATGCGGAGCGGTCATATCCTTCCGTGGCATAGCTGTTGATGAAGACGAGGCACGCCTCAGACGTGGGATCCACCTCCGGGTCTTGAGCACTGACGTCCCACAGCACGGATGTGCCGTCCTCGTAGGCCTGCTGCTGAATGGCATTGAGTGGCGCAATGACATATCCCGGTGAGTTCGATCCCGAGCCACCGCCCACCCAGAGAGTGTAATTTTGGAAGAGAGGACTGGTACTCAGAACAAGAGAAGCAAGGTCAAAAGAATCAATGACCTTGGCATCATAGCCAAAGACAGACACTAGCTGTGGTGTTTGAAGAGGGAGAGCATTGTTAGTATTCTTCACCAAGACGTGCCCCTCAATTGCGCTCTCCAACAGCGTGCTCTTCTCGTCGGGACTCGTTCCAACAACAGCCTGGTGCTCCGACTGGGCGGTTGCTGGCATACCAACGCCGGGAGTGGGAAAGTCCGTATCCTGGTTCAACTGATACCACGTTGCGATAATCCTGATTCGATTAGCTTAGCCGTACTGGAAAAGAAAGCTACGAAGCTCACCTAGTCGCCATATCGTCCAGTCTTGATGCCTCCATCGTGCCATTGGAAATAGCGGTGGTGAGGTTGGACCCCCAGAGCGTCGTTTCAGGCATTACCATGTCCAAACCAGCATTGGCCGAGGCGATTCCACCATGCTGGGCTCCCCAGTCGGTAATCACGTAACCTAGGATATTTAGAGACCGTTGTGTAGAGACCGCGTTGGAGAACCTCACCTTGGAAACCCAACTCTGTCTTCAGTAGTCCATTAAGTGTCTTGCTGTTCTGGCAAGCGTAAGAGTTGTTGATCCGCTCATATGAGCACATAATGGCAACACTTCCCGCCAGGACGGCATCCTGAAAAGGCCACAAGTAGAGCTCGTGGATTGTCTTGTCATCGATGTTAGACGAGACGGCAGCCACGTCGACACCATTGACCGTTCCCGGGTTTCGGTTTGTCTCTTGCTCGTTGCCGATGTAATGCTATTGAACCATAAGCCATACTGTGGGCGCTCAATGAATGACTAGTTCTCACCTTCGTTGAGACACCAACACCAGAGGACTGTACCCCCTGCACTGTTTCGTATACAAGTGCTCCGGTGAGGTAGGGGTCATTCGAGAACCCTTCCCAGTTGCGGCCGCCCTCTGCCACCCGACCAAGAGGGCCAACAACAGGACCGAGAAGAAGGTTCACTCCTTTTCGGTGAAACTCTTGCCCCATGTACTTGGCCCGGTCTCGGGCAAGGGTTCGATTCCAACTGTATCAGTATGTTAGCTTTAGAAACAGTAGAGACGTTCGTTGACATAAAGGTTACCTGGCACCGACGTGAATACCGCTAGACCAACCGTTGACATAGTCTGTTCCCCTCTGCGAAAAATTAGACATATCCTGTCATGCATGAAGGCCATACGTACCAGGCCATTGCTTGCATCGCTGACACAGAGACCGGGAAAGTTGAGGCGCGGGATCTCAGCAATAAAGCCTGAGCAGCCAGTCTTGGAGCTTACTCCTGCCGTGAGGTTGACCTTTTCGTCGTCCGTCAATTGAGCGACGAAGGCCTTAGCCTTCTCATAGGCGGAAGCCCACGACCCAGTACCCGTTCCCTCGGCTTTGGCCAGGCGTTAGTGAAGGCTGTGCCTGGAAAGGGGAAACACCACGTACGAGACGGATAGACTGCGGGAGACTGTCCATAGAAGTAAGTGTCGCTAGTGATGTTCTGTGACGGAGCAGCGCTGGAGAGCGCGAGACTCCCAAGCAAGCTGAGAAGTGCACTGATGCTGTGCATTTTGGCGATGCTGTCTTGACTGCTGCCAGGTCATGTTGCACGCTGGCCACATGGTGGTATTTAAATGCCACTTTCCCCTCACATTTGCATGGGTGACATTGAATGTATCAGTGTGAATGTGTAGTTGCGGTGCCCGTACTTGCGGGATTTCCAGACTAGCGGATAAACATCGGGAAACGGATACAAATGGTGTGTGATTAGACCATGTCATGCGAGGCGCAAATGGGAAAAGGAGGAGTATAGAGGCCTTTTCGGGGTAACATTAGGCGAACCGTCGCTTCTCCTCCACTTCCGGCAGCGTAGAGGGATAGAAATGCCGCTGTCGGAGTCCCACAATGTCTAGCAAGTCTCCACCTGCGGTGGAGGAAATCCGGGGAAATGCAGGATATGAGTCGTCATATAGGGTACTGTGCAGAGCTGCGCGTGGATGAGGCGAATCAAGATCTCTCTTTCTCCATACAACATCCGGCTTGGCTTAGGCACTTAGGCTATTATACTTTCCGGTCGTCTGACCGTAGGAATATGGCATGGCGTCATCCATGAGGCCTAGTAGGTCCGAGTGTGCTTGGTCTCCTGTTGTTCCTACTAAGAGCCAATCAGCTGCTGGGTATCACAATCTAGGTTCAACGCTTATTATATGCGATCGGGCCCCAGAAGAGAGTCGACGAGCCCTATTCATCGGGTCGCTGGACTCGAGATGACGGTTCATGCCGCACCAAAGAATTGAAAGTGCTCCCACTCTATCATCGGCCCAGGAACTCGGCACTTGTGTGGACCAAATGTAGCGATGAGTGGAGGATGAAGCACCCCGAGACGAGGGCGTGGCATCGGATGGTGTGTGATGGAATCAAGTCCGTTCGAGGCATCACCCGCCTAGACCGGGTTGGAAGGTGACCGAGCGGGGTAGTCAAGAAGAGCACATCATCAGTGCTGATGCAGAGGGTTTAAGAATAATAACGTTGTGTGCCCATTGAGGGGAAGATGATGATGTTGCCCATACCTCAGGCGTCGCGGAGCGGCAGTATCGCTATCGTGACGAAGGGTTGACGGATAGAGGCGCAAGAGAAATTAGTAGCAGTAAAGGGTTCGTCATTGAATAAACACGTCTATGTAATTGAATACACATTATGACGTCGCATTCACTGTACCGCTGCTGCCTATAAAGATGGTGTTGTGTTCTCTTGCCTGCTCCTTCTTCCTTTGCCTCCTACTCCGTCTCCTCGCCTAACACAACTTCAATCCCCGATCATCTTCTCCATCTTCGCCATGTCAGCTAACATTGGTACCGTGGAGCCAGGGTTTGCTTGTCGTATCGAAGGTCTGGGAACCGTGATATTGACTGTTCGTTCACTTTCTGAGCTCCTTTCCATACCTCCGTCCGAAGTTGAAACGTACCTTGTCACCAACTCTGAGACTTTTCCCAAGACCCTCCGCGAATCAGACAGGCTGAGAACTCTCATCGAACATGGAGCAGTCCCAGTATTCCCTCTTGACGTTGGCATGTCTCATCGTCGCCCTCCTAAAAATACCGACCATGTTGATGGGACACGCTCATTTTCATCATCCTTATGAACCACACGCTCATTCTCATCATCCTTATGAACCACACGCTCATTCATATCATCCTTATACAACGAACTCTATTTCTACCACGACATTTAACACAGAATTACCCGAACCTACTGTTGTTAGGGAGCAAGACCAACACCGGGCGTCCGGTATGGATATCTTCCACCCGAATCGAGAGACTCCAGAAGATGTGATCTGTTCAAACGCGGTGCCTCCTTGGGCAAGCGTTAGTGTGCTATGCAGCCGAGTTGTACCAACTCAATTACTGCTACCGCCCGCAGAATCATCCACCTCACCCCGTTGCAATACGTACAGATTTGCCAACGCCGTTTTCGCGATCTGCAATACGGACACTACACACCGCCATCACTTCACCGCCCAAAGAAGAACTTGTTATAGAATCTATAACCAGTGCCGCTATAGGAATAAAGGAGGATACGTGGAGTACAGTGGACCGGACGGATTATCCTCATTGTACCATGATTTTGATATATCCAGGCCTCCCTCATACGCAGCTAGCATGGGAAAGATGTTATGACATGTTCGTCTTGGTGATTATCGGAATGGGCGTTTTTCTCTCTCCTTCTCGCTTCTTGCTACTTCCTCCCCTCAGTACTTCCAATGCGCATAGCTTCGACATCCTTGTCTTTTTATCCTACACCCCGTCCGTGTCTGTTTATCCGACCATGGGGCTTTGCTTTTTCCTCTTGTTTTGCTTAGTCCTGGCGTGCATCATCACTGTCTTTTCGCCCTCCTCTACCCCCCTTTCCTTAGCTTAGCTTTACCTTTACCTATACCGGTCTTAGTTATTAGATGTCTTCGGTCCTTCAATTAGATAGTTTAATTGCTAATCTCTTCTGTCCCATGATTCGCACCTTCATTATCTGTATAGTTCAACCACCACGAATACTACTATAGTATCCACTGAGGGTGTTCCATCCCGTGCCAGTCCCAAAAAAGGTATAGTGTGGCGGTCACGGCAGACATTCTTGTTCTGATTCTTCCTCGTCCACTTTCTTTTCTCTTTCTCTCTCTTTCCTTTCTTTCTTTCTTTCTGTCAGATTCCATTCTCTCTTAGAAATGCTTACCAAGTATTCCCCCATGGCTGATAACCCCCATGTCTTCTTCTCTCATAACCTTGTGGGACGACCCCGGCATCCCTCCTGCCATCCATCGAAATCCGGGGCATCCCCGGACCCACCAGCGCTGCCCAATCTACTACTAATGGAAAAGATTGACGATGCCCTGCAGTGACCCGGATGGAAAACATATTATTGCGGAGATGCGGGGAACGGCATGATGGGATGTTACTCATGCCTCCATAAGCAGTGGGTCTCCATGTTTTCTATCCCCCCTTGTCCCTCTCCACAATTTGCAGGGATAGGAAAACCTGGTCGGATGCACGCGGTGATATCACCCCTTCTTAGTGCTTCTCTCACCTCTTAACGATGCCATTGTGCTCTTATGATCAAAAGGTGGGGATAGGACTACAATGGACAATATCCGCGGATTTTAAAGGGGGTGCCCCGTTCGCTGGGACGACTCGCTCTCGCAAACATTGGCCCCGACCACCATCCAGCGAGGTAACCCCACTCACTCACACCCGCGCTTCCTTCTCCGCATGACTGCCATAGCCATGCCACACACCGCCGGCAATGCGGCTTTGCAGGTTCCGCTCCTCATCAATGAGTTCGTCACCGAATACCGCGGCAACTTGCTCTAACGACTTGTTCGATGTCTCTGGAACCAAGAAGAATGAAAATACGGCGGCAGCCACACAGAAAATTCCAAAGAAGAGGTACGTCCCCCATCCGAGCTTAAGGAGCATCTCCGGCACGACAACCCCGATAATGAAGTTGGCCAACCAAATCATCCCCGTAGCGGCACCAACCCCCTTGGCACGTTTGGAGCTAGGAAACACCTCCGCAGGAAGGACCCATGCCAATGGACCGTACGAGATGCTGTAGGAGAGCACATATAGGTCTGTCACCTGTGTCAGTGGTCACTGCGCAGAAGCCTTCGAGGCTGAGAGCTTACAAATCAGGGCCACACAGAACCACCCAACTGCCTGATGTGAAGCCCAGTCGCTACTGAATCGGTTCATTAACCCCGCCATTACGAGATGCGGGATTGCCATGGCTATTCCACCGTAGATGGCCAGTTTACGCCGCCCCACTTCATCCAGATACAGCATCATCGGAACGCCTCCGACGAATTGACAGACATTGACCATTCCTGAGAGAATCAGTGAATTATTGTCGCTTTGTCCCAGGGCTTCGAAGAATGTGGGCGCATAATACACAAAAGCGTTGATCCCCGAAAACTATATCGGTCAGGAGCTGAAATCACGGGGAAGGACCACTGCAATCAGTGGATCACATACCTGCTGGAAGAATGGAATGGCCAAGGCAACAACAGTCTTCCTGAGGTATTTTGGCCGAAAGAGATCGACCCACTGTTTAACGCCGACAAGGAGCGGATAACGAGCGTAGTTAGAATACTCCCTTTCGAGGAGCGCCTGCTGGAATCGGACCTCCGACAAGATTCCTTTCTATTCCAGTTGCACCTTCTCGTCTTGCGGCGACCGTTTGCGCAATTTCGCCAAACAGCTGAGAGATTTCGGATATATACAACGGGGCGCCCATTGCCAGGGTGCCGACGCCGATCCCCCCAATAAATCTACCGGCCACGATTGTAGCATAATCTTGCGCGGCTGTTTGAATGGTGGCACCTATCACGAAAAGGAATGTGGCTACGGTCAATCCCCATTTTCGAGATATCCGATCGGCGACGGCAGGAAAGGACAGGCAACCGATGAAAGCCCCCAATTCCAGCATCCCAGTCATAAGTCCCACATTGAAACTGTCGTGTGCATGATCGGGGGACGTTTCGGGGAATTGCTGTCGGAATTGGGACATGACGAGAATGATCGATATGACCCCCTAATCTAGAACATGTCAATTGGGCCGTAGTGTAGGTGGACAAAGGACCTACCGTAGCCAAATGAAAAACCACCGAACGATGCCAAGAGGGCAGCACCGAAGGCGTAGGGATTGTGGATAAGGTCCCTGAGCTTTCCAGCGTCATACTTCACATCCGAGGATAGAAGAGCAAGCGCATTGATGTCGGCATGTTCATCATGGACTGCCGAACTCTTGTCGAGTTCTTCGGGGTGTTCCTTCTTGGTCATTGTAGATTTTGTGCTATTGAGAGAGCTCCTCCTGTCAAGAATGAAATAAATGTGTGCTGCACGGCAGAAGGATGCCTTCTGAGAGTTTATGCAGGAAACAGGTCCGGATAGTAGTTATGGGTATACTTAATCCTCGTGAGCCGCCTCCTCGATGCCAGCAATTGAGACGCCGCCCCGCACCTGGGGTGTCGATCCGGAGGGGCATCATTCATTGGAGCTCGGTGGAGGTTTGCGGGGAGCAACCGATGGTTTGTCTTATCTTCGTTGGCAATGCTCCCCAATTGACGAACTGGATGCGACCGACCATCTTGCCTTGTTCGCTGTTCGCCGAATGCAGCAATATTTTCCCATGAGATAATGTTGCCAAACATCGGATCGGCCAATTAACAGCCCGGTTTGCACTGTGATGGAGACCGACTTGGCGTCACTGACAAGTCAGGCATGGAGTCATGATGGATGCCATCATCTATTCCCAAGCCTGCCATTTTTGCTGGGCCATCTGAGTCACCACCTTCCGTAATGTGCTTCGGGGTTCCTCAAGATCGCCTTTCATTGAGTTATTTGGGTCCGACCTTATAGTCATGAGCACTCCTAACCCTCAGTCGCCCGGTTTCGACCTCTGTATATTCCCCGGTTTGTCGTATATTATCTCGTACGCCAGAGGATATTCGGCAAGATAAATCCACATATACTCGCTTCTCGGAAGATGAGGGGTCAGACATTGTTGATGAGGCTCACGTATGGAATGACTAGTATCCCTGTGTAAACAAGAACCCAGCGAAATGTTGACAAGAGCAGCCTTACATTACTTTGATCCCCAGACTGAGAAGTAAAATCCAGTCCTTGTCGTTGCCTACCCTGCTGGGTATTTAATCCGTGGTGGCTAGGACACTAGTCGCCCTGGCACTTGCCCTTGGGTAGCCCGGTAGTCCATCGCATATTGAAATCTGGTATATTTTGCTGATCTCAAAAGTGGTTTGTATCGTACTCAATTTTGAGATATCGTCATGTACCTCTTTCATCCGTTGTGCCAGTCAGCAGATTGAGGTAGGCTGTCGGTCAGTACCAGCAACTCTAGCAAGGCTGGGAACCTTGAACGTGTAGACTGTAATCCTAAGAATATCTTTCATATTCTCGGGAGGTAGCAGATCAATGTCAGTGATGTTCTTGTTACAGTTTGCATCTGACTGATGATGCAATAGTATTGGTTGGTATGCATTCAATAGCATTTACTGGCAGCATTACCCAATATATATTCTCGTGAGGGGGGGGTCCCTTACAGCCCAGAATCCATGAGACGCACATTGAAAGCTCATGCTTTGTGAGTTGTGACATAATAGTCAAGAAATGAAGACATCTCATCTTGTCGAGGATGTCCAGGGACTTTACAGATGATCGGTACTTAGCTAGTATGAAATGATACTATGACGACTAAGCCAGCCCGTCCCGGCTGCTCGGAGGTATATTTATTCCGCTGAGTCATCGCCCATCTCCTGCTCCCCGGCCTCTATTCTTAGTATCCGGGTTGTTTTGCCTTGTCTCTCCCCTGGGATGACTTCATTCATTGATCCATCTGAGACCTAATATAAGACCTGCCCCTCCCCGGAGTGGGGGTTCTCCGCTGAGTCAACATGATCGGCTTTATTGATGTGCGCAGCCCGCAACTCGGCAATGCTTCGCCTACCTATAAAGTTAGCCAGGGCGCCTCAACAATTGTATTTGCTAATAAAATGCAGAAAAGCACTTTCTTGAAGCATAGCAGCAGTCTGCCTATCAGTACCGGATTGTGATATTTGCCTCTGTATACAGAGTGTTGGAAGCTAAGAACTCCCTCCATGTCTCTTCCGAAGACCCTCCACTTTCCCGAGAGGCCGCAGTTCTCGGCTTTTATGAAGCCATGTCGGGTTGAGGGCGAGGTGAACAATCTAGAGGTCTATGGAGACACTCCAAATGATATTGACGGCACATTCTTTCGGGTAATGCCTGATCCCCAGATGCCACCCTTCATCGAAGATGATCCGGTTTGTATTTACTTCCCCATAGGTATGCTGTAGCGGATGTGCTGAAAGAACTAGTGGTTCAATGGCGATGGGAATGTTAGCGCCTTTCGGATCAACAATGGCAGTGTATCGTGGCAACAAAAGTTCGTACGTACCGAGAAATTCGTGCGCGAAAGAGAAGCAAGGAAAGCCCTTCTTGGTATGCCGGTCCTCAATCTATGTCTACTAGGCTTTGCTAACTGGTACAGGAAAATATCGGAATGAGTTCACAGATGCCGTCCGGTTCAAGATCCGTAGCACAGCAAATACCAACATTGTCTTGTTCAATGGGCAGTTGTTGGCCCTGAAGGAAGACTCCCCACCATATGCGATGGATCCCTCGACTTTGGAGACAAAAGGTCTGTACGACTTCGAAGGACAACTTCCAAGTGTCACTTTCACGGCACATCCCAAGTTTGATCCGAAGACCGGCGAAATGGTCTGTTTTGGCTACGAGGCAAAGGGTGATGGCACACCAGATGTTTGTTACTACCAGGTCAGGCCAGATGGGTCTTTCTCCGACATCTGCTGGTTTGTGGCGCCTGTTTGTGCCATGATACATGACTTTGCGGTGACCGAGAACTGGGTGAGTGTCAAGTCAATTAGATCTTCAATAAATGTCTAACACCACTAGGTGCTCTTCCCGCTTATTCCCCAACTGTGCGACATCGATCGCCTCAAGGATGGCGGGGAACACTGGCAATGGAGTCCCGAAACCCCTTTGTATATTGGCGTCATCCCTCGACGGGGACCAAAGTCTGGAGACATTAAGGTGGCTACCATTCCGTGCAACTCTTCATACAGCGCACTGACTTATAACAGTGGCTCCGATGGGACAATTCCTTTCCTGGACATACTCTCAACGCGTACGAAGACCACAATGGACACGTTATATTCGACCTCGGTATCAGCAAACAGAACGTATTCTTCTGGTGGCCAGACAGCAAGGGGTCAGCACCCGAGCCCAGCACAATCACATCGCAGTTGATGCGATTCACAATCGACCCGAACACAACAAGTGAAAAACTGCCTGACCCCGAGATCCTTCATACCGGCAATAGTGAATTCTACAGGATAGACGATCGCTTCGCCACACGAAAGCATCAACACTGTTTCTTCGATCTCATGGATCCCTCCCTGGGCACTGACTTTGCAACCATAGGACCTCGTCTCGGGGGCGGGTACCCTCTATATAATACTCTAGCTCATGTGGACTTACAGACTGGGATTTCAGAGATATACTTCCCTGGTCGGACACATCTGGTGCAAGAGCCAGTTTTCATTTCGAAAGCAGGGTCTTCCATCGAAGGAGACGGATACCTTATGGCTCTGGTCAATAACTACGAGTCCATGGCAAGCGAGCTGCATCTGGTGGATTTGACGGATTTCAGCAAGGCCAGGGCGGTTATTCCTCTGCCGGTTCGGCTTCGGCCCGGTCTGCATGGAAATTGGGTCGATAGTAGTGATATGCAGTCTGTATAAGTTGTGAATTATTGTGATTCGCATGGGAGATGAGAGGGTGGAGAACGTTATCTACTTGCTCTACGTCGCCAGATATATACAAAGTCCTCGCAGCCAGCTGGTTCACTCCGCAGTACCCCTCCGCCAGATCTTCATCGGCATTTCGCCCGGATTCAAATTGCTTCATGGCGAGATATGTTCCACTCCGGAGAAGACAGCACAAAGTCATACCGATGCACCACAGACACTAACACAACCGTCTGCTCTGGATGGGAGCTTGTGGTCGCCAAAGCAGAAGATCAACAAGTCGGCCACCCAAACAAAGATTCTATTGGCCCAGATAGATTCAGTTGCTATGTCTCAAAGAATATAGTTATTGCTCGAGCAAACAGGGAACGCAAACGAGCGCTGGTGCAGAAAAGCACTCCAAATTTCTTGGCTTAAAGCACTGAGGCAGGCTGGATGGTGAAGGGAGAGGTACGGTGTAGAGTGAATGTGGGGATTCGGCGAAGGGCCCTGGATATTCTGGTATGTATAGAGAGTCTTAATTCATTGTGTATTAACGACGAACTTGATAGCATTGAGATATGTATCAGAGTGACCTATCGAGGGTGCTGTAGCTGAAGTTAGCCTTTCAGTTGATCATTACTCAGCCATATAGCAGGAATGAAGGGTATCAAATGGTAAGTACCCGCAATTTGCTTGTAAAAGCGTAGAATAGTCGCCGCCATCAGAACATCCTTATTGTATTCCTCAAGGGGTTCTTTGGATATCTTAAACAAGTGGGAAACGCAAATATCATGATACCGGATAGCTGCTTCAGTGCTCAGACGTAATAAGACAGCGTTAGCCAGGTTTACTCCTTTCTCTTCTGCACGAGGCAAGCCGAGTCAAATGCCCAGTTGATGCTGTGAGAACGGCGTAGCGTAGAACCGGAAAAAAACATCGCTCGTTCGGGGACGACTAGGGAAGAATGACGGTCGCGGTCGCTGGTTTCAAACTTCCTTCATGTCAGCAGAGGCACTGATGGGATCTATTGTCAAACCTACCCACTGGGCAAGGTTTTCCGCAAAGTGTCGAATCAAGCATGTCTCCTCCCAGCTGAGATAGGCAGTGACTGATTCGGTGTGGGGCAAGCCATGTAATGGCCCCAGTGGATGTCGGCCCGTTCAGTTTCACCAGCTGGATCGGGCAACGCCTTGTCAGGCTCATTTGCTACTCCTAAATTGCTGGTGTCCGCTAGGACTGGCGTAGTGGGCGACTTGGGATCCTCTTGTTGGGGCTGCTCGCCTCAGAGACGGCACCATGAGGATTATTTCGAAATTCGTCTTCCTGGCAAGAACTGGTACTCAATCTACAACGAGCAGGACGTAGCTCTCCGCCCTGCCTCGTGAGTGAATTTGTCGTCAGATTGTAGATGGCTCGATACGCGGATGATCCTATTTCACGTGTGGAGTCATGTCGATATACGTCAACCGACCTGGAGGACGAGCGAACAGTTAGGATAGGGATGGCGCATATACGTTGTGATGTGGCTCACAAACACTTGCTGCTGGAGCCAACCCATGTCTGATCAGATGAGAAATCGTATGCCTGTTTTGGACGAGTCGTCGGTCGAAAACGAAGCTCCGAGGTGACACGGTTGCACGATGCTGCAGTCCTTTTGCAAGATTTGCATGGTGTATCGCCGCTGCCTATTGCACTTAGATGTTAGTTGAGCCGCTTTTCCAACTTTGTGAAGCCATAAAGGTCCCCACAGCGAATATGATGATCTTCCACGGCGTTAGCAGGTTGATAATCACCGTTTGAAATGGGATTGATGGGACGTACCTCTGCACCGTGCACAAGACTGTGACCGCGTTGTCCGCGATTTCATCAAAAGCTCAAGCGTGTCCATCATCGGAGGGCAAGGATAGCTGTCACTTGGCCGATAGGCTGGAAATCCAAAGAAGGCTTGGGGGAATGCGGAGAAAGAGGAGACCTTTGCCCGATCGGGCCAGGTGATGCGGGGAACCTGCCTGAGATGTAAGGCATATATGGAGACATTGAGGCACCAGGGAAATATCATGTGTGATGCACAACACTATGGGACATGAACTGAGAGCTGCTTTGACGTCAGTCATGATATGTTGACTTTAGTTAACATTGAGTGGTTATCGTTTGAGAACATGGAAATGCAGGACCACCATACATGTAGAGTCGGGCCAGTCTGGTAATGATGCTCAGGTATCTTTCATAACAAGGCTGCCCTTGGCTTGCTTTTGCGCACCATGAACCGCTAGTAACACCAAGTCATGTCAAGTCTATCTCATATTTGGCTCTCTCAATAGGCCAAGAGATCTCTGAAGTGAATAAAGTGTGAAGAGGAGGCCACCGACCAGCTAGTGACGAATACAGAAGATACGGCGACTAAGACCAGTTTCCATTACTAGATCTCTTGTTTGCTTCTCACTCTTCACATTTAGACTCTCTTGCCTAACAGTCGCCCTGGTAGCAGTGTGATTCATATCCAAGTCTGACCAGTAACACAGCACTACTCCTCCAAAATATCTTCTCCTCCCATTCAGATACTCCTCTCCTTTGATCTGTCTATCCTCGATTACCGCTTCGGATCCTTCGCTGTACTTCTCACCTCATCACCTTTCACGAACTACTTCCATACCCTTCTCTCATAATTTACAACCGAGTCGGGATATTGAGATGATCTGGTCGTCGGAAGCAGACGCCAAGGTAAGCCAGTTATCCTCACATACTATGTGCCACGGTTATATACAAGGCTAACGTTTCAAGCTCTTCGTGGGTGTCTTGAATCAGTTGCGCGGAAAGTTGAAGGTCGACTATCAAGAACTAGCTACGCATATGGGCGGAGGTACTTTCTGCCCTTTCTCAGTTTTAAATGAAGGATATATACTGACCAACATAGATTGCACCTCCTGCGCCGTTGAGCAGCGCATGATACGGCTCAGGAAGCAGGCAGCCAGCGCATCCCCAGCAGCGTCCACTGGCACTGGTGGTGGAACTGCTAATACCACCCCGACTACAACCCCAAGGAAGCGTAAGGGAGATGGTCTAGCCACCCCTGCGAAGAAGAAGACCAAGACAGTTGCTGCTGCGTCTGCCAAATCGGAGGTCAAGAAGGATGATGCCACTACCGTCAATGAGGATGGAAAGGCTGAAATCAAGGTCAAGCCAGAAATTAAGAATGAGCCTATGGAATGATGGTCTGCTAAGGCTCGGCCGTTATCTATGTCTTCCTATGGATCTCTGGGCGACGGCATTTTGTATTGATCTACATACGGGGACAGGAGAATGCTGGTGGGATAGACCTTGCTTGATGGATGGAGATAGTAGCAATAGGAAGATATAAGCACTGCATCATACGATTAAGTGATTCCACGATTAATTTACTTCCGTCGCCATGTAAAGACATCAAAAACGACCTAGGATAAACAAATTATCTCTATGGACAGTCAGCCTGTAGGTCAAGACGGGATCATAACCCACAGCCATGACGCCCTAGTTCTTGTCCTTCGCTGCAGACGAGATATGAGCCTCAACACCAGAATCGTCCGATACCTCCTCCTCCTTGACCATCTTCTTTGTCTGGCGATTCTTCTTAGGGGTCGGTGTGGTAGGCCCATCGTCTGACACCTCCTCTTCCTTAACCTTCTTGGTTGCGCGTCTCTTCTTGGGCGTTGGTGTAGCAGAGCTATCATCGGCAGGGCGCTTCCAATTCATACTGAATGAAATACCGGACTTGATCCCCTTGCGATATTTGGCTAGGTGCTCCTTCAGGGCCTTTGCCGTGGGTTTATCATCACCGGCTGTTGTAGTTAGCATCCATTGTTTCCTGATATTTGTTCATATGAGGGAAGAAGGTGAAATGGACTTACGCCAGCCTTCGGCAATCTTGTCTAAATCTAGAGTCAGAGTCTGGGTTTCAAAAATGGTCCGCCATAGCTGGTGTTTCCTGGGTTAGAGAATGTGATGATTGGGTATCTGTTCAGGGACACGGTACCAGTTCCTCATTTTCTGGGGTCCAGCGCATGGTCGATGGTTGATTAGTTTGGATGTGATGTAAGGGGAGAGCTTGAGGTGAGGAGTAGCAGAGGTTATTGTGTGTGAGGTAGTTTAAGTGTAGGCGAAGCGGAGAAAGTCTTGAGACAAGATATAGAAGCTATTATGCTGTCTAGCTGAGATGCACCAAAGTGAACAAGCCTTTGGTGGAGGTAGGTTGATTGGAGAGGGGTGCGGCGATCAAGTCTGTTGTGCAAAGAGATATTCCGACGCAGCAGCCCAAGAAAGACAGGTCATTTAGATGTGAGACTCTAGTATTCACTGGCTAGCAGTCACTGTTTCGTTTCCCGGGCAAGCCGGAAACAGCGGTGCCAAAGTAGACAAGTCAATCAATTCTCTGTGAAAGAGACTTAGTAGGCATGGGCAGGCGGGATACAGGAGAGACCAGATTTATCAGCTCATAGAGTAGTATACCATTCGGAACTCGACACAGGGCTACATGTGAACTCACGTAGGGCACTTCGCAAACACGTGCCAGAGAATGGGAAGGTAAGGGTTGTCATTTTGTCCGTTCAGCATTATCAGTTTGTCCCAGACATGCTGCACGGTGGGATGATCAAACCCAATGTTGAGTACATGGCATGGAAGGGACTACGCTACTCGTACAAAACATGGCGACTTGATGGGCAAGGCGAACTTTGCATAAGACGTCAGTAGTGTCATTGGTTGTCTAGCAAGTCATCATTCGGTTTGGTTACTTCCTTGGGTGCAAAGTAAGACCTAGTTAGGTGAAGGTGAACTAGTAGCCTTAGGCCCAGTTTTGTTAAGAACTGGCTATAATAGCGTGATGTTATTGAGCAGGGGTGAGTTGCAAATCGATCGAGATTCGAGAATCTGCCCGAGATCTGAGTTACTGACTAACAAAAGGGTGATTGATTGGCCCGTCGCTGACCTAAAAAGGAAAGGCGCGCTGCAAGTGCCAGGCATGCAGGCATCCATGGTTTCATGCAGGCCTCGAAAGGTCCCAAAAGTATATCCCCTCTCCCCTCACCACCATCATATCAGTAGTATTGTCCAGATTTTGCTAATTCTTGCCTACACTCTAGGCAATACATATCATTCCCGCATGGTCTGAGAAAGCTTCCATTTTATGATGATTACTCCAACAAGTTAGTTTCATCCTCTGTGGGAATCGCGGGACTAGTGCGTGGATAGCCGCAATAACGACCACAATACTAGTGCCATGAGGTGGAGGGTAAAGTCGGGATGACCCGGCCATTCAAAAACTCGTAATCTGGGTTCAAATTAGCTCTGGTCCTGAATACCCCGCCAGGCCTATATGTTTTCAATTTTTTTACTTCCTCGCTTTCCCCTCTCCATTTCAAGCAGTCCAATATCCATCATGGCCTCTTCCACCGTTGTCCTTGTCCCTGGTGCCTGGCATCAGCCGTCCTGTATGCGCCAGCTGCAGGATGAACTGACAAGCCGGGGGCTAAACGCCATCACTGTTGCTCATCCGTCCATTGGCAACACCGCACACCCGCTGAAGACCATGGTGGATGACAGGGCGAGTCTGCACGCCGTCATCGAGGATCTCGCTGATAACGGCCATTTCGTGACTGTAGTAGCTCACTCTTATGGAGGTGCAGTTACCTCGGGCGCATCTGAAGGGTTGGGCGTCGCCGAGCGACGTGCGGCTGGCAAGCCAGGTGGGATTGTTATGATTGTATACCTTGCAGCCTTTGTCGTCCCTAAAGGCCAAACTCTTCTCGGTTATTTCGGTGGAGTCGCCCCTTCCTTCTGGGAGATTAAGGTTGGTTTTGTCAAGTAAATTGAGCCATTCTGCGTGAACACTTCTGAATAGTTGGTGGACCAGGGTGACTTTATCTATGCCAACAATCCGACCATCAGCGATCCGGCCAACCTCTTCTACAATGACCTACCCAGCGACGTCCAGGATTACTGGATCTCTCAGCTCCTCCCCATAACAGCGGGGTGTTCCCAAGTACCCAACACTTACGAGCCGTGGAAGTATATTCCATGCACATATATCAAAGCCAAGCAGGACCACGCTCTGTCACTGGAGATGCAGGAGAACATGATCGCCACAATGGAATCCGTTACGACCCGGACCCTGGACTCTTCTCATTCGCCTTTTTTGAGCATGCCCCGTGATGTCGCCGTGCTGGTCCAAAAATCGGTTGAGGAGGGACTGGAAAAAGCCACTGGTTTGGTATTTCTACCGCATGATTTGTGTTAAAATCTGTTTTGAATGGTACTTCTATCTATGCACACTTCGAAATTGTATCATCAGCTTGAACCATGTTATATAATATGTCCACTATGATCATCCAAATATTGGGATACGATGCCCTACTGGTGATACATCTCAGCACTTCAGAGCACATTAGCACCTGTGATCATAGCAACGAATCTGACCAAGATCCTGAGATCAGCCATCTCACAATCAGCTTGGAGAACTATTCAAAGGTTCATGTCAAGCACGAGGAAGTAGCGCAACCTGCTAGCGGCCGTTATGCCGGCTAGTAACCAGGATATTCGTGGCTAGTGATAGCTTTACAAGGTCTTCTTCTTGTCGGCTTTTGTTTAAAATGTCGCCACGTCTGCGTGGTGTAGCCTGACAGCGATACTCACAGTATACTGTTTTGGCCCACTTAACAGCGAAAACATTGACTTAAAAAAAGGTGCAATTAGCTAGACCTCGCTAGTACTTCCAGTGACCCTCCGGAGGCGGTGAGGTGAGGATCTGGATCTGCCTCCCCGGCGCTGCCTCGATTCTCTCCACTCCTTCTACCCTCTGCCTCTAGCCTGAACTCATCATTCGTTAATCTATCCATCCAATGACTGCAGATCCTTCGCAGTACACCAGTGGGCGTTCTCTTTTACTATGTCATCATAAAGGGAAGAAGACCCTCGTTGCTTGTGACCAGTGCCATCGCCATAAGCTCAAATGCTCGCCTCGATCCCAAGGATGCGCCCGCTGTCATCGTACGCCTCCACTTCCCGCTGCCTCACCCGGCCATTTCTGATCAACCCCAGGATTAGGGATACAGTGCACTTCCAGTCGCCCGATTATGAGACGCGGAAGGCGACCAACTAGACAAACGCCCCCAGTCATACCTCCTCAACTATCGGAACATCCATTGTCGGTGCGGCCCATGACACCCCCCCCCCCGGCTTATGTGCAGATGTGCTGAACCCGACTGCAGGATGCACCTGATTATCCTGTATTGGACTGTCTTTGCAGTCTGCAGATTTTGACGTCGGAACAAGCCACGCCCAGGTATTCCCCCCACTTCCATCATGCCTTGGAGCCTATCACGCTCACCACAGACAATAGCGCTTCCCCGCTTCAACTTTCACGTTTCGAGGCCTGTCGTCTGTTGGAGCACTTCTATGCTTCACCCAATCAAGAATTTCATGCCTTACTCATCCGAAAATGCAGACTCCTAGATCAGTGTGCCCCAAGGCCCATACTGCCAACCCTGCTACTTTCAATCCTATGTACGATTACGGACTTCTCCCGAGCAATGAACCTTCAGCCATCTTATACGCTACAGGTGTCGCTTGTTTCATGCCGTCGGCGGAGCAGTCACTTTATGTATCCGAACGAACAGTTAATCAGCGGATGGCTCAAGGACGCTATCTCCTTGACAAGCTAATACAGCATTTTCACCCCAGGACATTACCCGATACTAATCATGTGCTCGATGACGCCTTAACGGCATTTATTATGACAAGTATCGCCCCGAGCGAAAGATCGGTCGAGTCGAGTTTGCAATACTGGCTTATATTTCTCAGATTTGTTGTTCAAAAGTTGGAGCTACACAAAGATGTACCCAATCTTAGTCAGGATGATAAAGAGGAACGGAGGAGGTTTGTCCTTAATGCCAGAATATACATTAGCCACAAGGTCGTTGATATTGAGATCATGACAGGTTATGGTGGGCAACCTATATCATAGATCGACATGCGGCTTTGTCATTCAACGGACGACCGCGAATCACCGACAATGAATGTCTGTTTCTCCCGATTCCACGCCCTGATGCATTATGGAATCAGCCTGGCCCATTACTTCCCCAGGGTCAAAAGCCAGGCGCGCATGAAACAGTACTTAGCTATCATGTTGGGAATCTGGATATGCTAGGGCTTTTCCTGCCTCTTTCAAGGTAGGATTTCCTGTGGTTCGCCAATTTCATGCCGTCGTATCTGAATCTAGTGCAGGATTCTGGGCGAAATCTTGGAATATCGCTTCCTTAGCGACCATTCAACATTTAACACATGCCCTGATCTTTTGAACACGGTGCAAACGAATATTTTGCAGCACCTCAGGTTGTGGTATCAATCTTTTGAGGCTCTTGTAGGCTCGGAGTTCAGATCGATTGCTGAGCCAGATTGCCATTCATGTCCGGTAGCAGAAGTCCCACCAGTGGCCTACTATGGATTTCACATGTACCACTGCATGTTTGTATTACTACATGGTCCAATGGACGTGGTGCGGATGTATCAAGACCTTACATGGCAGTCTTCTGCCGACTTTCTGACAGCCGGCGAGCATGCTGTAGCTTGTGCAAATGTGAGTCACCACTAATTGCGTTGGCATATTCTGAAGAAGAACCCGACGTTCTATCTTTTCGTACACACCTTTGCTCACATGAATTCGATGAAGGTTGCCCGACACATATTGCGGATCGATCCACAACTGTCTCTGATGTATAGATTCTTCGGGACCTACTTTTTACAGTCTTCATTCATCTTTCTCATTCTGGCACAAAAGCTGGGGAAGCAATCAGACGACTTGATCTTACGCAATTGTTCTATAAATCTACAGGTTTTGGACATGTTTGTAGCTGCGACAAACATGGACTACCAACGCACGTTTGCCAAGCTCTTGCGCCGGACACTGTCATTCAATATGGCTGAATCTTCCGGGGATATTGCCCCCGACCATAGTCAATCGATGCCAGGATTTACTGGTGTCCCGCAATTATCTTTGGATCCAGAAATGCTTCGTTACCGCTGGGCCCCAGGCTATAATGGATTGTGGGTTGGCCCAATTAGCTGAAAATAGATCAAGCATACCGTCTATTCACATCTGTATTGAAACCCGCACTGCCAGGCCTTCCCGAAGAGTTATAAGGGGTCTAACAATTGCCATTAGGCTACCAGAGCTTTATATAATATGGCTTGGTCCAGTTATGGCTTGTATGGCCTGCTGGGCAGAACGCCAATGTCTACCCAGGACCCGGAATCTGTGCAATCTATCCGTCCAAGTCTGATCCGAGTCCATGTGGACTGTTGATATGGTTCGGCCACTGCCGTAGACAGTTGCGTTACCAGTCTCGATATCGGGAGATGGGGCTGTGATGAACCGGATCCAATCTCTCTGAACGCGGTCGACAAGGGCGGCGTTTGTCGGTGCTTCGGCTGGCAGGGCCTCGTCTGCAACTCTTATTGCATCTGCGAAGCAATTAAAAATATATATCAAGTCGACGCAATGCTGGGCAATCCCTTGCCTGGGTCCCGGAAATGGGTTGCCCACACTCATGCGATACGAGTGCACCGCAGTAGGACGGGGAACGATAGGACTTTCTGTATGCTTATTTCTGGGCGCTTCCCAATCCCTTAGTTCTTGTCTGGCACATTGCACAGGATACCCGAACTGTATATCCGTCAACAGCTGAAGCACCCGTGTTCTAAGCTCCGTCGGGGAAATGTCTGGGTGGAAGCCGTAGGCCTGGTATAGTTCTTCCAAGAACTCCTTCGACTCCACCCCTGTATATAGTTTTTCGCTCAGATGCTCATAATTTTTGATTACATTTACCTCTTTCATGTGTAAAAGACCCTGTTCTTTGTCAGCATATGATGTTGGCCCCGTACAATGGGCTGACTAACCTCGACATCGGTATCACCGATTAGAACCGGAATTACCTCGGTACGAGAGGCCGGTATTTCCGTAACAGATTCACTCTCTGGGCCATCAAGGTGAACCTTCCAGCGACCATTTGGCCTTTCTGAGATTGTAAGACCGTCTTCCACTAAGGGACAGACAATGGAACCCAACTTGCCAGCCGCTCGCAGGATCTCCGCGGGCGGAAGGTTTGCCATGAAAGCCATTCGCGAAATAGCATCGCCTGCGGGAGCTCCTGCATGCTGACAGAAAGCACTCCAGCGCACGTTGGAGACGTCCATCGAAATGGGACCGAGCACACCAACAGTTCCCGATTGAATGATTCCTCGCTGAACCAAGGGCTCGCCTCTGCCAAGAATAGCCTCCAGGACGTGGGCATGCGACGAGCTTCCACCTGCTGATTGACCTCCGACGGTGACCTGGGTGGCATCACCGCCGAAAGCACCAATGTTCTGACGCACCCAGCGAATAGCGGTTCGCTGATCGCTCAGTCCGAAATTGCACCCTTTCTTCTGACCTTCCGGTTGGGCTTGAATGATCTCGGATGAAGCCGCGAAACCAAACATGTTGAGGCGGTAGTTGATGGTGGCCACAATCATGGGAGTGCCTAGCTCAACCGATTTCTTAACGAGGCGAGCCGGATCTATTAGGCAGTCAGTGGTACTGTAGCTGATTACACCTGATCCTCAAGCTAGCAACTTACCCCACATCGGGTCTGTTCCTGCACCGAAGCTATACGCTCCTCCATGGATATACACGTATACTGGCAATTTCACTCCCTGCGCATCGAAACCGGCTGCAGCAAGGATCGCAGCACTGGGTCTTGTTATGAACAGATTGAGACAGTCGAACTCCGACTCCGTTACGTCGGCCGGGAACTCGAGATGAGATTGAAACTCGTCGGTGTTGTTAGGTTCCTGCGGCTGAGGGCAACGAGGACTAACGCACAGATATCAAAGTTAGCGGGCTATAGTCCCGCACACTCCGAAGCAATATGTCGACCTACCCGTTTCGTGTTGCATCAAATTCATCCCGGGGTAAGCGATCACGGAGCAATGCATGCTGCCATCTCGCCGGCACAGTCCCATACGGGATCCCTCGAAACTCCTCGATTCCTGAGATGGGTGATTTTCGACCGATCACCCGCTGAAAATATGAGGGCGAGGTTTGCGTTGGGACAATGACGACTACTGGGTCGCTGGACGAGGCGGGAGCCTGGTCAGGATCCTCGGGCACCCGAAGCTGACGCACTGCAGCAGCCATAGTGTCTGTCTGAAGGAGGGAATAGCAATAAACAGGTGTTTGCGGTCCCGAGAAACATGGTCGGCGCGGCTAATGATTTATACCTGTCGGGATCGACCATCGTGGAGTTGCATCCCTAGGGTGGATCCCCCTTGTTTCCGTTTGCTGTTCGCGGCCGTCCGCATCCCAAGCTAATCCGTCCCATACCCAATCAGCATCGCTGTTCGGACCGCGCCGTTGAACTCTAGTCGGTGAATTACGCTGCTAGTATTCGGGCAATTTCCTTCTTTACGGCTGGGATCTCATCCATTCGGTCGGCTGACAGGGCTTCTCCGCAACCCCGGCTTTGGGGACGAGAAAAATCTGGGGTGAAAAGGATAAACTCATCCCCAAGTTGCCTCACTATAAAAAGCACATCCTGACAGCGCCCATTGCACAATGTCTTGCTCTCTCCTTGTGCGTTCAAGTCGGTTATCCGTCTGGCTGTCTAAATACTCTCTTCACTATGACGGCTCCAATGTCAGCTGCGGCTGCCGCCCGAGCTGACTGGCGTGCCATTGCAATCTGCCTGTTCATCACCATTGCAGCCTTTCAATTTGGCTTCGACTCATCCTATTACTCTGGTGCGTCTGCAGCCTTAACCCTTCTGCTGACCAGCGACCCGCTGAAGTCCATGATACTGGCGGACCTGCTTTGATTACAGTACACTAATACACATCCCTATAGGTATACTGGTAATGGAGCCCTTCATCAAAGCCTATGGGCATTATGACAGTGCAACCGGCGGCTATGTCCTCAGCTCTAGCATTCAGTCTCTCACCACCAGTATCATCAATGTCGGTGAGCTCGTCGGCGCCGTATCCTCATACCTTGTCGATGACAGAATCGGTCGCCGAGGGGGCTTGTTTGTTTCAAGCACATTTGTTGTCTTGGGGGTGATCTTTCAGGTCTCCGCCGACAAACTTGCTCTGTTGATTGTTGGGCGGCTACTCCTAGGTCGGTACTTATTCATTGACCGACGCTGTACCACCGCTGCAGTCGCCGATACGTTGCAACTGTTACTAACCGATGCGTAGGGTATGCCGTGGGTCTGATTTCGTGCTTGATTCCGCTATATGTCGCCGACTGTGCCCCGGCCCGGTTCCGTGGGGCTCTGGTTTCTCTCTACCAATTCGATGTTGGTCTTGGACTGCTACTGGGTGTCATCGTGGACAATGCGACCAAGAATCGGAACGACAGCGGCGCTTATCGGATCCCCATGGCGGTTCAGGTGGTCTTCCCAGTTATTTTGGTCCCGGGGCTTATCTTGTTTGCCCCTGAATCACCTCGCTGGCTCTTGAAGAAGGGGAAGACGGAGCAAGCCCGTGCAGCTCTCCGTCGCTTGCACGGCAATCGACCCGACGTGATCGAGAGCGAAGTTTTGTACATATCCGGGACACTCGAAGAAGAACGTCGCGCTGAAGGTTCGTGGAGGGAGCTACTACACTGGCATCAGGATGGTCGCAAAGCATACTTGGGTATGGCACTACAAGGTAAGATGGAAGGCCCTTCTCCTTCTATTGTTTTCCGATACTAAATGTCTTCTCCCCATCAGCATGGCAACAGGCCTCTGGAATCAATTTCATCACCAGCTACGGAATCGTTTTCTTCTCGGCTATCGGGATGACCAATTCATTCCTGATCCAGATGGGCTTGTATCTGGTCCCCATGCCCGCGGTATGGCTGAACCAGTACTGCGTCGAGCGCTTTGGCCGTCGCCCTATGCTTCTTCTCTCGTGCGTCCTTGTTGCCATCGTGCTTCTGATTGTCGGCGGGGCCGGAACAGCATCCCATAAAACTATGACTCTCGATCGATTGATTGTCGCTATGGTATACATTTACATGATCGTGTATAATCTTTCTTTGGGCCCCGCCGTTTGGGTCGTTACCTCGGAGATTGCTGCCGGACCGAACCGCAGCAAGCTGATGGCTACGTCGACGGGAGTCAATTGGTTTTGCAGCTGGATGGTGACTTTTACCTTCCCATATCTCTTCGACAGCGATGCTGCCAATTTGAGCGCCCGAGTCGGCTTCATCTACGGTAGCCTGATGGTCGCAGCAACGGCTTGGATATTTTTTCTGCTTCCGGAGACGGCCGGACGCACGTTGGAAGAGATACAAATCCTCTTCAAGAATGGTGTCTCCGCCCGCAGCTTCAAATGTATGACAAATATTCCCCCTTGCTTATTGTTAGTCAACAACGTGATTTACTAATTCGTCTTTTTGCAGCTTATAACATTCCCGGAGTGCCAGGTGACTCTGTCCTCGAGGAGAAGAAGGAGGCTCATGCGACTGAGGTGGAGGAGGTATAGGGAAGGGGTGCCGGACTTGACTCACATTGCGCGTGTGGTAGACTATATGTGATGTTATTCAGTGATCAGTTGCTGCGAACCTAATTCTTGTCTCGCTTGCGATAAAGCGTTTCGCGGGCACAGAAATTATAATCTGTTTTCTGGCATTATTTTAGAGCAATAAATAGACTCCGAAGTTCCAGTACCAGTTACTAATGCATTTTATTCTTGTAGAGAGCGTAAAGAAGATGCATCTAGTGTACCATTGCCATACTTACAAATATCTACCCGGTACCAGTCTTTAGTTCTTTAGGCTCGGCCGGACCTCGGGTAAACGGGGTTTCTGTCTGCTACACGAAAACGCGCAAACTGAAGCGAACCATGATTATGGTATCGAAATAAGTTTAACGTTGTCCCTTAAGGGTCTGCAGTGTCGGCAGGCTCCGACAGGGGGTGATTGTATCAAACAATAGCACCATGGTGATGGTAGTTATAGATGGACTCTTCACCGTCTAAGAAAGAAATCGACCATGAAACGAGCCCATGCAAATGACATCAGCGTAAGAGTTTTGCTGAACGATGTTTACCCGTCCCTGACTCCTAAAGTTTATTATGCGAACGAAACTTTAATAGCATTAGGCTCGCATTTCTCCATGTTCTGTGACCCTGAACCGTCCACCGAGACGAGGGCGTGGTCGGATCGCCCGGTTGATCGACCGTGGCTGATTTTTGGGTCCGAGGGACATTGTTTACTTGAAACCATTTATCGTCGAGAAAACCATGCATTGATTGCTTGGCAATCCCACCTGTCGAGTTTTTTTTTTCCGAAGACAACATGGCGAACTTTACCTCGGAGTCAGGGTCCTGGAGTAGGCGACCCAAAAACATGGTCGGGATATGTAACACGCCGTTGGTGCGCCGGCACAGGACCCCTAATCCAGGGTCCTCGGTATGCCACGGTGCCAATCCTCGGTCCACGGTTCGTCCCCCTTCCTTGGCCCGTGGTTTGCAAAAATTGGTCGGTCCCTTTGCCCTGAGACTCTATATACTCTATATCAATACTTCTGCCTGAAACAACGAAACCAGCCTATTTCTCTGGGCATCGGCACACTAATGGGTTCGCCATGTGATGTGCTGGGCGAGTGGGATAGACCTGAAGGATAAATTTCAGTCCTGCTGCCCAGGCGATTGGCATCGATTAGTGAAGTTCCTTCTCATAGCAGCACCAAGTGAACACCGCAATGAAGCTTCTATCCATTCTGCTCGGGCTGGCAGGTCTTGCTGCTGCGAGTCCCATGGGACTTGCTGAACGTCAACGTAAGCATATACCACCATGCCATGATCACAGCGACCTCGGCTAATTGTTTAGTTTCTGATGGTAATGAACTGCGCCAGGGCTCTTGTAAGCCCATCATCTTCATCTTTGCCCGAGCATCTACTGAGCCTGGCCTGCTCGTAAGTAACTCGGTCATTCTCACCTGATCAAACACTCGAAATACTGACGAGAATCCAAGGGTATCTCCACTGGTCCTGCTGTGTGCAACGACCTCAAGATGGCAAAAGCCGGCCAGGTCCTCTGCCAGGGCGTGGGGCCCGCATATACGGCTGATCTCATATCGAACGCACTTCCGGACAACACTTCCCCGGCTGCCATCAGCGAGGCGGAGAGTCTTTTCAAGCTGGCTGCTTCGAAGTGCCCTACCAGCCAGATCCTGGCTGGTGGGTATAGGTCAGTGGCTCTTCCATACCCTTCCACCACACCTTATGCACATGCTAATTTTCATACAGTCAAGGAACAGCCGTGATGGACGACTCCATCAAGCAGCTTTCTGACGACGTCAAGGACAAGATCAAGGGCGTTGTGCTGTTTGGTTACACTCGCAATGCCCAGGAGGGAGGTCAAATCGGCAACTTCCCCAAGGACAAGGTCAAGATCTACTGTGCCATGGGTGATCTTGTCTGCGATGGTACCCTCATCGTCACCGCCGCACATTTCACCTATGTCATGAACACGGGTGAAGCTTCTCAGTGGCTGGAATCTAAGCTCAGCGACACCACCACTTCTTCGTTGACCGATTCGTCTTCATCTGGTACCTCTTCGAGCACCTCGACTGGTGACTCCTCTTCCGAGTCCTCATCCGCGACAGGACTGGGTGGACTGAGTGGTCTATCTGGCCTGGGCTCGTCCACGTCTGGCGGTTTCCCTTCTCTGGCGTCGCTTTTCTAGGCCGCCAGGTCCAGATAGGCTAGAATGGCCGTGGTGATTATAGATGATTTCAGCCTGAAGGTTCTCCGGCTTTGATATATGAGTTAAAGAACCTTATGATGCTTCAAGCTTTACATCTACATACATTGAACCGCATGTCCGATCGAAGTCGAGGTGGATTTTGTGAGTTCATGAAGCAAGCTGTTTGACAGTAGCTTTTTCTCTCTCATGCTGTTTTGGTCAACTTTGTATTGCTTCGAGAGTCCCGAGGGGGACCTCGCATACCTGCTTGAGTATAATGAGCCTACTTGAGATTCTATTCCCTGTCTTGTGTCCGTCTCAGTGGTTGAGATTGCTTGCCGTATGACCAGCCACATCACGGAAGCGAAGTGAATGTTCGGGAGTCTAGCTTTGTTTCTTTGACGTGAAAGAACCTTTAATGCTACGTCGAATTAATCTTTACGTTCTAATTAGTCAAAGAATGCACTATCAACTGATATGCTTCAAAGTCCGAGCCCTTGAATACCCACCTGGTTGCGACACTTTTTCCCCTCCGACAAGGACGACTAGAAAAGTAATTCTACTTGACCGTCAAGCTATATCGTGATTCTTTTCGATTAAACTATAGTTTTGGAATTTCTTTTCTCGCGAGGCATTCTTCGAAACAGCGGAACAGATTGAAGATAATCGACTGGAATCAAGAACGACGACCCCTATGGCTGGGTTTGGGAGCGGAATGCACATGTGCTGCCTGAGGCATACTATGCCATATCGCAGTGCCCCATGTAAAAAGGAAAATGAGAAAGGAGCCTTATTGAATGGTCGACAGTTCATACGGCGTCTTAACTACAGCTGCCAGGGCGCTCCTTTCCATCAGTGGCAGTTCTTTTTGACCGCCGTCATTTACTCCTAAGAGACGCTGTGCTCACCAGAGGGCGGACCAAAACAAAGACTGTGAACCATACAGTAGCCAGACGTTCGGTCTGTATGACCTGTGATCGCTTACAGGAGTAACCCGTCAATAACAGCTATAGATCTCCTATGCCAAACAATTCCTCTATCGGTGTGGGGGGCTTTTTCTCTCCTTTTTTTTAGGAAACATGCTCATGGCTGTCACAAACGGTAACATCTCGGTGAGCCTCGTGGGCTAAGTTGGAATTGCTTTTCGCGGATGTCGTTCAATCCTCTTCGGTTAAATATTCCAGTATTTATAGAGCAATGGATCATGTCAAGTCTTTCTTCCGTTCCAGGACCAGGTCGAAGCGATGTAAGAGGTCCCACAAATGGGTAATCCCTCGTGCAGGTCGCGAAAAACAGTTGAATCCCGCTAGGGTCGGGAATGACGTCCATTTCTGATCTAGCAGAATCGTGTAGAGCTTTTTATCTCCAATCTCTCACGTCGTGATGGCTGCCTCTTCCATCGTTCGCAGATTTGCCATCAAGTATAATAATACTGTGGCTGACCTCGTCTCGCTGCATTGTTTTCGGCGAATACCGAATTGGGTAAACTCCGCGAGGTGCGCGGACCCTCTCCCTTTTTTGACTCTGTTTATCCTTCAGTTCATGGCGAGCAGGCCGGTAGACGAACGAAAAGATAACCCTTCGGAAGTATTTGTCCACATCATGATTTTCTAAAACCTTATTGGGGTGGATGTTTGTGGATGTGGAGTGTCGATAACCGAACCACATGGCAATGGGACTAACAGCCGGCTCCTTGCATGGTGGAGACCTCAAAGACTGGATTGACTAGGACTGAGATGTGAATGTCGGCAGATCTCCCAGTAAACACTCTGAATGGAATCCTCTTGTAGGCATGACAGTAGACTGAGGAGGAAACAGAGGGAGAAAGAAGTGGCCAGCAGCACGTGGCCGAGTAAACAACTCCATCACGTGTGGTACTGGTACTGCCTTCCCTCTTCCCACCTTCCACCTTCCACCTTCCACCTTCCAACATCACAATCAACTCCAGCTGCTTCTTCATCATCTCCAACTCTCCCCCTCAACGATAGTACTACTTCACCATTCTTGACTCGAGTACCACCAATGATACCTCTTGTTTCTCCGCCCCTCTGGTATTGCTTCTAGGAACTTCGGAACCCCCAGCAAAACATACTTCGTATCATTGCACGACCCATCCCCAACAATATCCATTAGTCACAATCCTCCCTGGTCTGCTCTACCCTCCATTGCATCTAGGCAGCAGTGTGGCCTGATAGGAAGTCTCTGACTGACTCGAGAATCGATAGTTTTGCGCCTCCCACGCCAAGCTCTGTCTACCACGTGGGAGAGACCCCCCCGACGACAGAATACTCGATACACAGCATCCAGAAATGGCACCATGGACTAACCTCCACTAAATCGGTTGGTTCTGACTGGCCTCGTCTCGCATCCATCGACTCGCCGTACCAATCAAGCTAGACCCGGTCTCGCCCTGGTGGAGTGGTGCCAGTTAGCGGAACGGCGGCGCGGGTGGAGAACCATGGAATCTCTCCTTCGGAGCAAATTCCACGCCTTCCGGGCGCGGCTTTTCCCTTCTTCACCCGCGACCCGTTTAAATAGGGACCCCCTGCTGCGTGGCCATCACCATGCTGGCTCTTTTTCTTGCACGCCTTATCCTCAATTCCTATACTGCCGTTCTCCATCATGGGCTTGATGCGCAAGACTGCTGACCAGGCCCTGGGCCTGACCGCCACCGCCCTGGCTCTGGTCAGTGCCGCCCAGGCCACGGCCCCGTCCGTCACCGTCTCCCAGGGTCTCGTCCGTGGATTTGAGAAAAATGACACGAATGTCTTCCTGGGCATCCCGTTCGCCGAGACGACCGCTGGTGAAAACCGCTGGAAGGCCCCCAAGGCTCTGTCGTGCTTTGCCGGAGGCGAATTCAAAGCTACCACCTATGGCCCCTCGTGCGCCCAGGCCATGTCTGGCACCGCCATCACGGCCCAGAGCGAGGACTGCCTCAGCCTGAACATCTGGACTCCGCTGAGCGGTAGTGATCTGCCCGTCTTCGTTTATATCTATGGCGGAGCCATGGTTACTGGTGGCAGCAGTAACGCCCAGTGGCAGGGCTACAACTTCGCCCGCAAAGACGTCATCTATGTCAACTTCAACTACCGCGAGAGCATCTACGCTTCGCCCAATGCCCCGGAACTTGAGGGCCAGTCGCAGAACTTTGGCATCATGGATGTGGATTTGGCCGTGCAGTGGGTTTATGACAACATCGAAGGTATGCTTGCTAGTTCCACTGCCAACGAGTCACTGTTACTAACCGACGGCGCAGCTTTCGGAGGAAACAAGTCGAACATCGTGCTGGGTGGTCACTCCTCTGGCGGTGTGCATGTCGACCATTACCTCTGGAATCACCCGGAGACTTTCCTGGCTGGCGCCGTGGAGATGTCGGCCAACGCTGAGTCCGGTCCGGCCTATGCCCCGGCCGGCGTGGCTCTGGCTCAGGTCGTTGAGGATATGTTGGCGGCCAACGTGACGCTCGGCTGTGATGCCAGCAACTACACGTTGGACTGCCTGCGCGAGGTTGATACCTACGCCTTCCAGACCACCTACTTCAATTCCACTTCCAACACCTGGTTCTCCCCCATTGTCGACAACATCACTCGCTTCTCCAACTACACCGACCGTTTTGCTCAAGGCCACTACCCCAAGTCTCTGCCTCTTATGGTTGGTAACTCTGACCAGGAGGGCCGTCTGTTTGCCTATGCCTATGCTTCCGAAAACACCAACTTCACCAAGTGGATCCACACCTTCGACGCGGATGTCGCCTGGGTGCCGTCCGAGGAGCTCCTGGATGCGTACAACAGCTCTGATTACTCGTCCGTCTCCTTTGAGAGCGGCGCCTGCTACGGTGATGCCCGTTTCCTCTGCTCAACCGACTACCTTGTCGACGTGCGCTCGAGTGAGCAGCCCACCTGGATCTACCGCTGGTTTGGTAACTACTCGAACGTGCTTGGCGTCGCCGGCATTGGCCCCTCCCACGGCAGTGAGGTGCCCTTCTTCCACGGTGGTAATGAGTGCTTCTCCAAGTTGAGCGACGTTACCACCGCCGAACAGGAGCTGGCGGACTACATGAACGACTGGTTTGTGGCCTGGATCAAGGAGCCCAGCTCCGGCCCCGGATGGGACCAAGCTCAACCCGTCAACGGTCCTCTGGCTCGCCTGGGAGTTCCAGGCAACGAGCTGGCGATCGAGATGAGCACTACCGGCGCCTACAACGGACGCTGCCAGGCCGTATACAAGCCTAACTTCCCCAAGTATCCGGTGGTGCAGAACCCGGTGCTGCTGGATTCATAGAGGATGGAGACGACGTGACGACGTGACTAGCTACGCCGCCGTGGGGCGTGCACTTTCCCGTAAACTAATTTCATTTTACGAGACATAATTTCATATAATGATTTCATTTTCGTGTGTGTGCGTGTGTGTGTGTGTTAAGACTGTTAAATTTCATTGTATGACCTAATGTGAATGCGGCACTAGCTCGTTTTAGAATGCCTCCAACCTTGGCTGGCTCCAGGCTTGCGCCATCAGCTGGTAGGCTGCAATGCTCGGGTACCAGCTGGCTGTCGGCGGAATCCGTTTCCTTTCACTGCTACTGCTGTCTTCCAAAAAATTGGAACGTGCTTGTTGGCGTTGGGACTGGATCGATAGTGTTCCTCCCCGTCCCTGGCCCTGAACGGATCGTGACTCGCGCTGGACGATCACCTTGCAGGCCTGCAGGAACACTACCGGGCTGCGCGGTGCAACGCGGACAATGGCCGAGGGCAACCCTAAATGCGGGGACTTGATCCGCCGAAGTTCACCCAGCGCCACAATCAGCATTGATCTGGTGGATCATTGCGGAACCACTATCGAACTTCAATTGTCTTGGAACCTAGGAATTCATCTGGAATGTCTTAGACGGGCCCCATTGCCAGGAACCCAGGCACATCGCTGAGAATGACTGGCGGACCAAATGCAAGACAGAACAGTTCCATAGTATCTCCCTCACAGTTTGGGTTTGCCAGGCCCTGGTTCTGGTTGAGCTAAACTTAAACTTCTTCAGCGACAAGCAGCAACCACCACCGAGTGGCCGAGAAATTTTGCCTGGCGACAAGGACCTTTTCCCCCTGGTCCGATAGTTATTAATCCTGGGTTTGCAAGAATGCCCCCCAGATAAGATCCAAAATATGCCTCTTCGTCCTTGCACGTTTCTGCTGTTGTCGTGAGCGTCCGAAGTATCGCACGTCCATCGCCATGGCTCGTCCGGACGTTGGCCAAGTGGTATGAGCTCCTACTGTCAATTTCTGAGACATGTCGGTCTTTCTCGCCTTTTGCTAACCTCTGGTGCTCTGACTTCGCGGATTAGGTGGCATGGTATATCTGCACGGTCGCTGCATGCATCTTCCTCGTGTTTCGGCTGATCATCCGGTGGCGACTCCTCAAAAAGCTCTATCTCGATGACTTCTTCGTTGTTGCCGCCGCGTTTTGTCTGATCGGTGACTTGGGCATTCAGCACTACATGTTCACCCAGGGTTTGTCCTTTCTTTCGCCTACTAGTGATCCGTGCGACGTCTAACCACCCGTTTCTCCCCACCCACAGGCATGTCAGAGATGGCCAAGACAACCACGGCCGAAAAGATCAACATGCAGAAGGTCAGTATGAGGATCGGGATCTGCATCCCCAAGCATCCACACCTCCGCCAGTTGCTGACTCTGTTCTTCCCCTGCCACAGTTGATCATTCCCGGGTCCACCTTGTATGTCACCTCGCTCTGGCTTATCAAGGCCAGTATGGTGCTGTTCTACAAGCGCCTGGCCGATCGCACCAAGTATCAGACCATCTATAACATCACCCTGGGTGTCCTGGCCGCTGCCTGGCTGGTGCTGTTCTTCGACATCGTCTTCAAATGCTATCCGCCAGATCGCCAATGGAAGAGCTTTGAGAATCCGGATTGTGAGTGGGAGAGTAACAGGATGCTCCAGTAGATGTTTGCTGACTAGCTGCTAGTGACGTGTTCGGCGAAGCAGTCGACGATTAACTACTGGTTGACGATCCTCTGTACGGGCCCTTCCGTATCTTGTGTCTTGTTGAACTTACAGCTAAAAATGCCCCTAGTCAACATCTTCAGTGATGTCTTCAGTAAGACAAGTCCCGACAACGAGCTCATTGAATAGTGAACTAACGTTACAGTCATCTGTCTTCCTATCTCTCAGGTAGCCCGTCTCAAGATGCCGAGAAAGCAAAAGCTCGGTGTAATCTCCGTCTTTCTGCTGGGTGTCATCGTCGTCATCACTAGCAGTTAGTTTTCACCACATCACATAAAGTCAAAGCCAGGCTAACGACACCAGTTATCCGTGCTATCTACTCGCACTTGGGCGAGCAGATGATCACTTGCACGGTCTCCATGATCGAAACTGCCATTGCAATCATCGCATCGTGCCTCCCTGTCCTACGCACGCTGGTCTTCGGCTCCCACTCACGCACCGGCACGTACAGCGGCCGTCAAGGATACGAGCTGTCCAACTCCGGAGCTGCGGGATTTGCCAGCAAGCAGCATACCACGGTGTCCGTATCGCGCGGGGGGGCGGACGAGCTGTCGCGGCATGACTCGGAAGATGAGCTGGTTAAGGAGAATATGTCGGCCGAAGATCCCACTGCGGGCATCTCGGTGACACGGGAGTATTTCGTACATGAGGGCGCAATGGAACGGCAGAGTATGAGATCTGCACGTCTGGAAGATAGAGTTGCCGATCACAGTGGGACCAGGACCTTAGCCTAACGATGTCTTGTACGATAAACACTAGTGATGATGGTAACGGCCACCATTGTCCGCCAAGGCCCTAGAAGACCGTCTAGAAATCCATCACTGTTGAGTCTTTAATAAAAGAATAAAGTACTACTAGTGTTGCTAGTCGTTTATGCACAGACTAACTTTACGGTGAAAACTAACTACTATCACATTGCCATATTTCCATGATAGGCCTCAAACCAGCCAACTTTAATTCTGGCTAATTCAAATTCTCATAACCATAAGTCTCTATCCAATGAAAGATCATTATTTGCAGCAGCATCACTGCATTTGCTGATGCTCTAGCTGACGAATAGTCATTATCATCGTACATGAAGTGATCGTGAAAGCGGTCCATCCGAGGAATATATATTTCGCCTTTCGAGACCCAAATCTGCGCCAACACAGAGAGTAGTTCAACTTATGTTTTACTACATGTTGTAAATGGCACCACTATTACAAAGTAAGCCGACTATATTACATTAACACCTTTTTTACATTCCCTGTAATACCTCATGCTACAATTGCTCAAGCTACAACTGAAACTCACCATCTTCAGGTCTTTTCAGGGTCCCCAATTCAAGGGTCGCTTACTCATACGGTTCCTATCCGTCCCGAGACGGTCATGATCGACATTGCCCAATCGGGCAGGTCTATAGTCTCTCGTCCGATTGGCAGGAAGATTTCATTTGTCTGACCAATCATTCGGCATTTTGCCAAGGGCGAAACCCACAAAGTTTCCGTTTCCGGATGGATTCATAAAACATGATCAGAGAGGTATGCTTGTATTAGTAAGCATGGTGAATGCCTTATGCAAACTGCACTCATAGTACTCAAACTATGTTACCAGGATGAGCTTCAATGTATTCCGTTGTTGTACATTGCTAAAGCCATTGAGCTGTACAACAATGGATTATAGAGAATCGACGGGTTCGTTCTCACGGATATCTCTCTGGTCAGTCGTCGGAGGGTGTAGGTGGTGATCATCGTGACTTATACTGGATAGATTTCTAATGGTAGAGGACCTTATGAATGTTTAGAACAAAGTACAGCGGGTCGAAGTTTCACGGTGACTATAATCAACTGTATCGGAGGAAGGCTGACTGGGTATATATGTAGTACCAAGGAGGTATTTGAAACAATATGAAGTATAGTCCTTGGTACTTATCTCTTGACCACTCTATCCATACTCAACAGAATTGACATCTATAAGTAGATTTTTAGAAATCTTACATATAGATCCTACTTGCTTACACTTACGCAAAGTGGCATCGGAAAACAAGAATCATAACTTTTTTTATAGTTACCTACATACTGAGGTAGCCCCTGTATCTGAGTTGTTGTGAGTCTGCATAGCTACTCACATGATGACACTCCAGTGACTCGAGCAGACTATAATCAAATCAATTTAACCCAATCCGTTTGATTTAAACTATGTAATAACCTTGGAGGACTTCTGTTGCATATACTGCCGAGCTGTGCTTGGTCAAGGCAGCGCTAATAGATATGCTATCGGCTTGTTTATCTTCGTGCATCAGCGTCATTGAGATTGGAATATGCAGAGGCCTTGATTGCGCAGCCGACCCGCACAATTGAGACGCCGATGGCTTCATCACGAATGCTATCGGTGGGCTGTGCAACGCTGTTAAACAGACTTCCTGCACTTCGATTCTTGCCTACGCAATCGCCCTACCGTACTCGTGCCTCACACTGGTAATTAGTATAACTATCAGCTGTGATATAAGACACAGTCTCACAGTTACCGTCTTATTCAAAGCCCATCGGAGCATGTACCAGCATGACTTGGTCTCGGTGAATGCGTCTTGATCCGTACGGCCTTCTTCTTGCTCGGACTGAGGCATCCCTAACACCCAAGTACAGTCACTGGGCCGAAGAAGCCCAACAAAAGAGCATGGAAATGTCGATGATAGCAGCTGCGCATATTACCCTGTATACCGGCCTTTCCTTGTAGCACACTGGTTTGGGCTAAAACTCTATTGCGACGAGCACATTTCCAACATCCACACCGTCATTATGCGGGTTGCCAGACATTCCCGCAGGTAATTTAGGAGAGAGACATGCTAAGTTTAGGCAAGGCTTTTTATTCTATACTAAAGATAGCCAGTATCCCGAAAATGGTTGGAACTCTACTTAGGACTATAACCATGGAGTCTACTACCTGCACTAAACTTTATAAGATGATTGACTACCGAATTCGAAGAGGGATGATCACTGCTGTTATCGGAGCCTCAGAATGAGGAAGACCACCATGGTTGCACTTTGAGAGCGGTGGTGGAATTTGACGGAATCTGTCGACAATCAAGATGAAGACAACCCTGAAAAGATCATGGTCGATGCTCACACCTCTATAATTCAGACAAAAAGTGGCGGGAGAACGATATCGGATATGTGCAGCAATAATCCTCTTGTCCGTTACTCAGATTCCCGCCATGGTATTTGGTGGAACCGACAGGAGACAGCCAGACAACGTGAACATGGACACATTGATTCAGGCCTATAATGCAGCCTTCGCAGATGGGTTATTTCCTGTGGAGAGGTGTGACTCCTATAATTGTCTAGTCTAGCCTTTTTTTGATGTAGGGGTACTGCATTATTGTTGATGAAAGAGGTCTCAGTATCAGTGGAGGTCACCGCTAACACCTTGTCATTGCGCGCAGAATGGAGAAAAGTCATGGATCCTAGTCCTGGACGAGCCACGGGGTCGGTCAATGCCGCAGGCGAGAATCTGGCTGAGGTAACAGTAAACCATGCAAAAACCGGCTGCTCAATGATCACGATTACCCATAAACTAATCACGGTTCTCGTGGCATTATATCATCGTGTTGTGACAAGGCATGGATACCCGCCAAAGCACCCAATAACTAGTTCTTGTTCAGGCAAAGTCTATCATACCTAGCCCACGGCAGAAATTGAATCCGATGACCAAGGCTAGAGAGGTAATGGTAGAAGAAGAGAGAGAAGAAAGAAGAAAGAGCTTCAAGCCAACAAGTATCCAGTAATCAGCGTGGATTTGGGAAAGGTCGCGAAGACATTCGCTACTAGACCAAATGCTTTCTGAAGGAGGTTATATTGTTGTAAGCAACCAAAGTGGTCAAAGGCTTCTATTGGTCGTAGATCTCACGAAGTGTGTTTGGTGTAGCGCTCTGACCTCTGCAATGGTCTGTCAGCTATCCTGAGATAGACACAGCAGGCCTCTCGCTCCAACGTTGGCTCGTCGCGAAGCTGGTCAAGATGTTCCATTGTTGAGGTTCAAGGTTGTTTGACGCGCCCAGGTTTAGTCTTGGATGTCCTTCACTCTAGCCCTTGCCCTGGTGGGCTGCTGTAGCGTGCTAAGGGTGGCATCGAACTAGATGTACATCAAAGGAATAAGGCTAACCAGTGAGAGGCACTTTCGAGGAGAGGAGAACCGATTGTCATCAGTTTGTGGCGTCGACTTACCGGCAGGATTACTTCCCTAAGTTGTTTCGAAAGCTCCTATCATACTTAGAAATGCAAAGTTTTCGTCCGGAAGCCTGGTCTCCCTTTCCTCTGTAGAACCAAGCAGTTCCATGGATTATTTGGACCAACCAGCGTCTTCTCGCTCATTTCCATACTCAGTAACGCTGGCTGCATGAAACTCCCTCCGCTTTCGGCTGAAGGTTGGAAGCCATCATCTTCTTGGCCGTGGTGGCTTTTCTCCTGCTCGCGGACTTCGAAAAGATCCGCTACAAAATCATGTATGACCCGGGGAACGCGGAGGCTTTTGCAAGTAGCTTCGAAATGATATCAGGGTCGGTAAAGGGCCCGAGAAGATGATCGTCCTGATAATGAAAAAAAGCGATTCTCCGATGTTCCGCACTTCTAAAGGGGCAGCAGCAGAAGGAGTTCGTAAGGCGTGGCTTGGCATCCTAGTGTTTGCGTATTTGGCCAACGTGGCACTGTGTACCATAGCGCTGACGTCCTCTGTCCCGCGCAGTTTTGCTTAAGAAATGGAAACGCCGGTCGCATCGATAGCGCTTCGTACGGGGGCGGAATCATCGCATTGGGGAAACACGACACCGTCACCTTCGCTGAGTGTATTGCAATATTCCAGGCGGGACATTCTCATGGGCAAGTGTTCAGCTCTTCAGCTTCGGCGCAAACATCGCCCAGGCCAAGGCTTCGGAAAACTCGATATCCGAAGAGAGGAACATACCAGGTGCGATGACAAAGGAGAAAGGAACTGAAAATTTAGACTGCCGATCGCGGCTTGACGGCAGATCTGGTGTTTCAGGGCGTTGCCTTCGAGCAAGTCGGCTCCATGACGCCCACCTTTGTCCACTCGAACCTGACAATTGCAAGTGGGTCATTTGTAGCCTTTGCGGATGCTTCCCGCGGCGGCAAGCCCACAATTATTCGTTGCTGGGACCATTCGACCAGCCAATCTCGGGGACCATCCTCTTCGGGCGACGCAAAAACGCCGTATCAAGTTGGCATATAACCGTCGAGTTCCGTCTTTAGTCACCCAAGGCCCCAGATATTTGCTGGGACCATCGGACGTAACTCCCTGCCTGGCCTAGAGCATCTAACACGTTCAGCGGGGATTTTAGTCATGAAATGACGCAGGTGTGCGAAAACAAGACTCTCATCAATCCAGTACATGGCTGTCAGCTGGCTATCCGATTGTGCTGGGGACTGTTACGCATACTGCATTTGTCGGCAGCCATAAGCGGCAGTCAGCAAACTGCTTGAACTGTGGATCAGTGTATCGTGCGTGTCTTGCTACACAAACTTCACTGCTGATTCTGGATGCAACCGCCTCAGGTTTAAATTCATATTTCAAAAAGTTGGCCAGGGAGCCATGGAGCATCTGGCATCCAATCGTGATTAGCCAGTGATCGTTGGGGCACACCGATTAGCGACAACCCAAAAGGAAACCATGATCTTCGGTCTCGGCGAGAGCTGTGCTAGCCGGGGTTCTCATGTTCTTGAGGAAGGGATATCACCATGACTTGCTGCACAAAAAAAGGGTATCTACTGGCTGATGGTAAGAGTAGCCTTTTCAACAGTTATTGCAATAGAACAAGGGGAAACAGGTTTACTAAATGGCCAGTTATTGGCAGTGTTCAGAACAACTCGGCGACTGAATCAGTAGTAACTTTATCATAGCATGTAGTCCCAAGTAGGCGGTTAGTAGTGGTTTGGAACCGAACCAGGCGGTGGATAGTGAGCATATCAGATACATAGAGGCCCTGAGTGATATAGAGAATAGGTCAGCTAAGATGGGATGGGTAGTACAAATCTTCATCACCATGATAGAATAGTCCGAATTATGTATGAAAGCTAGTTTATGTCTGAAGCCCACACACATGCATGTATGAAACAGTGATATAACCGGACTGAATGGAGGAAGTGGGCGAATTAGAAAGGCGGTAACCGCGAGTTTCTGCCGCTGCCTGTGAGTATACGTGAGTAACACTTGCGGTAGGCGGTACGCAGTTCTTCTGCCTACCTTCCTCTGCTCTCTCTCTCCCTTTCTCCCCAAGTTCCTCCATCCGTCTATACTTCCTTTCTGGGTTCCTAGTCAAAAGGCTATATGGTGTGGACGTACCTTCCGGTTTGAGTCCCTGCCAAAATAAAAAGCGTCCAAGCATCCAACCTAGCCTTGAGCGTCTTCCAAGGTTTCGGCACGTAAGGCCGCTCCATCATTGCCGGGGAGGTGATGGGGAGGGAGACTTATCCCACTGGTGCATAGCCTGGTGGACCGGCGCAACATATTACCAAGTTAGGAATTGGAAATCAGTCCAGGCCACATCGAGTGCAACGACCGCGAGGATCGTCTCAGATGGGACACCTGGAGAAGAACACGGAGATCTGCCCTCTTTTGCGCCCCAGGCATTCATGGGATTGGCCCTGCTATGGTAAAGTTGAACTATGGTACGTGGGATTTAGCCTGGAGAGAATTCAAACACGTTGGTATTGCGCCTGTGCCTCGGACGGACATTACTATGTGACGGAATTTCGGGGTAGACATTAGTGAGACACGATGCTGGAGGACTGGTCTCCTATGACAAATTCCTTGACCATGAGGACAAAAACAAATCAGCCACAACGAGTTTTTGGATTTTGGACTCAATGTCTTAACAATCTCCTGTATGGCTTGGGTCCCTCTATCGGCCGACATCCGTTCTAGACCACTTGGCTTTTGGAGTCCCATCGTTGTTCGGTATAGGTGGGCCATAAACCTTATTGCCCTTCTCAAACTCCAATGAAATCGTCCGCTTGTCTCCAACGGTTCCTGTGTGGGCTCCGGATACCTCATCCAGCTGTCACCACAAAGATAACTCGACCCGAAGCTTTTAAGACAGGGCTGCCCTGCATGACCCTAAACCTTGGTTTGATGGCTCCGTCAGGCAGCTTGGTTCTATTTCTATCTCACGGAAAGCTTACAAGAAACAGCGCAGTCCCTTGACGGGCCGCGTAAAATGTGAATTGTGTCAAGGTACTGCGACTAGGCATCATTATACAACTCTCTACCTGACCACAATTTTATGACGAGTATTGAGTCACTGCGAAGCTGTGACGCATTCTTCATTCACACATAAGGACATGATGGAGAATCTGTAGGCCGAGTCTGTAACATGGCCATGGACGCTACCGGTGTACATGGATCTGGCTAATCGAAATTTTAGGTATGGATGGATTGGCAATATGACTTCCATAAAGAAACAATGCAGATGTTGGAGTAGCTTATCCGGAGAGAGAAGCGGTTGTGGGTTTGGTGTTGGTAAGATGTTAGTCACATCTGAGTGAAGGCACGAAACACGGGGCGGTTCCCTTCCCTGCACCTTCATTGCTTTGATCTAGTTTCAGACTGGTGGATCGTCCCGATCGTATCGTGCAGTCCTCTACCGCCGCCGTTTCAGCGCGGAACCACTCCGAGCTATCATAATTTATAGCCCAGGGTCCAAGAGGTTGATTCTGCACCATGCTATCTGTATCGCTCATGTGTGATTCGTCGTCATCATCACGGCCTCACGCCCAGGTACCCCCATAGTGGCCTAAGTGGCCTACGTGATAAACTCTGATCTGCGCCGCTACGAATGAACCGGGTGCCCACCATAGCTTTTGCCCTGAAAGAGAAGCCCCCCGACATCTGGATCGTTCCTATAAGATGACGGGTGGTGCTGGATACTTGGACATTAGTCGACAATCAGTTCTCCTTCTGTCCGGTGTCATCTGACCGGCCACCACCCGCGAATATGCCACTGGAAGGACGTAGTGAGGTTCTTGTGGCTGTGTCTGTAGTGGTCATGGCTATATCGCTTGTGACAGTATCCTTTCGATGCTTCGTGCGATGGCGGATGCTCAAAGCATTTGGATGGGACGATATATTGATGGTTCTTGCAATGGTGAGAAAGCCCCTCAAGATTTCCGTTTCCCCCGATCCAATCACAACGGTTTGGTATCTAAGCCAAGGCTCTTTGGATGATGAATCGCTAACATGTTTCCAGCTTCTTGATATAGTGCTTACCGCGTGCGCAATCGCTGGTGCGAAGGACGGCGTTGGCCGGCATTTGAGTAATTTCCACAGCTTCGATGAATTTCACCATGCCATGCTGGTACGTGATATAGAATCATTATTCACCCAAACATACTGTTGAGATACTGAATGGGCTGTCTAGTGGTGGTGGCTGGGCCAGTGCATCTATATCTGGGCGTCCGGCATCGCTAAAGTATCCATTGCGCTGGCGCTCCTCCGACTGTCGGTTCACACGTATCAGCGCATAACCCTGTGGATAGTTATGGGAGCATCGATTTGTGTCAGCTTGGTGTTCTGGTTCTTTATGCTTTTTCAGTGCCATCCTGTCTCAAAATTTTGGGAGCGGACAGGACCGGGCAATTGCATGAGCACCGATACGCTGATTAGGGTGGCGTACGTATACAGTGGAATCTGCGCAGTCTGTGACTTTGCGCTGGGACTTCTGCCCATTGATCTCGTTCGCCAGCTGCAAACCACTCTCAAGACAAAGATCGCGCTGGGCGCGACCCTGAGTCTAGGTTGTGTGTACGTAAATCCACCGATGCTGTTGCTACAGCAGCTAACATGTGGCGTGCCCAGGGCGAGTACAGCTGTTATTCTTCGGATTCCTTGCCTGCATTTCTACAAGGATATCGATTTTTTGTGTAGGTGCCATGCTTCATGACCCCCTTTAATTCATTATACCTACTGCGATAGTCCATGTTTTGTTTGTTGTTGCTCCTTTCAAGTCAAACATGGCCAAGACGGCTAACCCTTCTCAACCTACATGTGTGACAGATTCGACCTTTTCCATCGACATCTGGTCCTTTATCGAGGTTGGCTTGGGAATCACAGCGGGTAGTCTGGTCACTCTCCGTCCTCTCTTTCGTGCAGTCCTCGGTGACCCACCTGACCGCAAGGGCAAGAAAAGCCGCGGAAGCATGCCATTGACCAGCTTCACGGAGTATACGCGGACCCGGCCTGACCCTGAAGATGCCGCCGTGTGGCAATCGCCCCAGCCTGATGCGACGCGGAACATAACCACCACGGTGGTTTCAGCTTTCCGGGCAAGTTTAAATAGTCCCCTCACGCCAACCTTGGCGGCCGAGTTGAAAAAGGGTCGGTCCGTTCGGATTAAGAGGTCATTCCATGTCACAGAAGAACATGTGGGTTAGAACGGGACGAAATTTGCCCTTTATACTGTATATAATGTCACTAAAATCATCTTGTGGAAATCATTATCTGAGCGGCTGTCGAGCGTAGAGAGAAAAGGGAAGCGAGGGAACATGGAGAGAGAGAGAGAGACAAAGCTGGAGGCTGACGGCTGACCGGTTGGCCTTGTTTGCATAGGCTCGATGGGCATCTGACCCTGTTTGCTTTCTCCAGTGGTAAGTAGTACTAGTAGTCTTCTTCCTATAGTAATAAGTAAGGACTGTCTTCAACCCCCGTCAAGCTTCCTCTTGCCAGCTATTCGTCTAAGCAACACAATCTAATCTACTGCTATCTCCTCTACCCCAAACCATCCAATCTGAATCTTCATGTGCATTGCAGGCTAACCTAGTGGGGAATGGGAAAGGAGGTGTGTTGTAATTGCCTTCTAGCTACCAGCTATGCAGTGAGACTGATAGAAACGAAAATCTTCACGTCAGGGAAACACAAGATGAATGCACCTCCGAGCGGCTGTTTCCCCACACTACAGTTCACTTCAGGCGAGCCTCCACCACCACCATGGGCACTCCGGGTGCCTTGTATACGTTGGCCAGTTGCAGCCCCGCTAGATCGAAGAGGTGCGCAAAATCCTTCACCGTTCGCTCTCTCCCACCAAACGTCATCATGGTCAAGTCCATATACGCGTTAGTTGCGGTCGCGCCCACTTCAGGGATGATCGTCTCCGTGATGAGAATTCGCGACCGCTCCCGATCCATCGCGACCGCCAGCTGTGCGAGGACCTGACGAACCTCCTCATCGGGCCAGTCATGCAGCACGCGACGCACGAAGTACACGAGGGCGCCTGATACATACGATCAATGTGCTAAGTTAGACTGATGGATGGGGCAGAGGAAATGGTGGGGACTGCTTACCCTGCACAGGTTGGGGGTTGAAGAAATCATGCGCCATCGGCTCGATTCCGTGGGCCTCCATCTCCGGACCATTATCAGTGATGACACTCTCGCGATCCTGCAGGATATACCGCCCGGGGACTCCTGCCAAGCTCTCTTTGAGTTGACGCAAAATATGTCCGCGACCCCCGCCGACATCCACGATGGTGGCGGTGTCCGGCTGTGCAAGTGGCTCCAGCGTAGATTTGAAGGGATATAGACCAATCTCCGCCAGGAGGGAATCCTCCGCTACCATGGCATCATTGAGCCGGGTTGCGCGGGCGGGGCTCTGCGAAATGTACTCAAACATGGTCTGTCCATCGCAGCCATGCACGAAAGTGAAGGGGTTGCGGCGCAGTTCGATGCGATGCTGCCAGCCCTGCTGCACGAAATATTCATGGCCCCGCAACATCGCGGGAGAGTACTCATCGACCCTGGCCAGCAGGTGGCATTGGTTAGCCATCGGACATGTGTTAAGACCCAGAAGAAGGAGAAGCCACCGCACTTACATTAGACTGAAAACCGCCCGCATCTGGGGTGCCAGTAGGATCTCCGACTCGGCGGTGTGGGCATACGATTCCTCCCCCGTCTCGCGAAACGGTCCCAATGGAGTCAGGGCGCGCATATGGCGCACTGGAATCAGGTCAGTTCCGTTCGGCAACGACAGGGAACCCCCCCGGCAGCGCCGACCGGGCGCATCCAGGAACCCAGGGATGGCCTACCGATAAGTTCTTTGTCGACCCCGGTTGTGGAGGCGATTTCCGAGGCCGAGATGCTCTGTCCCCCGGTCGGGATGGCATCCAACACCCCGGCTTCCAACAGTGTCCGGATTGCGCCTATTCGAACCATCTAGCATAGCGTGCCATGGCGCATCGTTAGCTAACACGGTATATTCCATTGTGTCCGATGATGGCTGGGGTTAACTTGGAGCATACATGTTCAAAATTAGCAAAGACGAGGTCGGCCGGACCCCGAATGGCATTGACCAAGCGAGTGGCCCGAGCCATCAACTGGTAGCGAGCATCCTGACTACTCGGTGTGGTCGCTTGACTGCGATACTGGTCGGCCGCGGCCGTGACCTCGGCCAGACACTGCTGAATCTGTTCAAGATTGGGATCAGACTGCGCCATTGGTAAGAAGTATAGACAAGGGTATGTGACCGGGGTCCCTGGTAGTAAGTATGGAACCACTCCGTTGGGAATGACCAGGGCGACCTACCTATTATACCTGTCACACTTGGCTCTAGCATCAGGGGGAACATTGGGATCTTGCCAGGTTGATTGGCGGGAAGCGAGTGGATAGGCAACGCGACCTGCAGCGATAGCGCCAGACGGCGTCCAGGCAGCGCCGGTGCGCCACAAGCCGATACGTCCAGCTTCCTCAGCCAAGTCGGGGAAACAGCCGACAGGAATACGAGGTGACCCTCCAATAGGTACAACAAAATCCGGATTCAAGATAGAGGCGAAGGATCATGGTCGGTGGACGGATCCGTACTTTGCTGTGGATGGATCAGGCCAGGGCCTGTGCTCGCCTCACATTTCAGCTCGACCACTGTTCCCCCCGTCATCCCGGATAGCAGCTTGACTAGACTATAACCAAAATCCACTCATTTCCTCCGCCGATCATCCGTTCACCCCCTCACTATTTCCACCGCAGCTTATTTTCCCCTCCTTGTCCGGCTCCACCAAATTATGTATGACCGTCGAACCAGTCAGCCTGGCTTTGTGATGTCTTCCCGCAGGTTCTGGGGTCACCCCCAAGGGTCTTCGAACCTGTCATGTTCCGCCCAGATTTCCATCAACCCCTGCATCTGACAGATGCAACTGATGCCGCATCCGGGATCTCTGACAATGCCCCTGACAGGGATAATCAGATCAATGTATCCCAGACTAGCCTTGTCGTCACACGATCCTGGTACACAGGAAGCTTTCTCCCATATCCTTTCCAGCCAGACTAGGAAGTTTGATGGCCAGTGGCGTCTCCTCAATGGGATAGTGAGGGCAATTTTCTGTTCCCCGGATATCGCAAACTATACGATGCAGGTGAGAATGGTTTCTCGGTAGTCGCTCCGGCCTGCATACGAACGAGTCCATTCCTCCGCGCCCGAGCCAGGGAAAGTTGGAGGGCACCATGAACAAGAAGGATAAGTAGCGAGGTGACGGCCAGCGTCTTTTGCAATCTTCGCTTCTGACCAGGACCTGCTCTCTCACGGACGCGCAAAGACAAGCCTCTCCCATCATGCCGTCGGTCGACCTCAACCAGATCCCCGCCTCTACGCCCCCCGATGGCGTGACGCCCAACTTTGTGAACCCACCGAACCAGAACTATCAGATCTATTCTATCAATATCGCCCTCTGCCTCACAGGCACGGCGGTCTTGATCCTCCGCTTGTACACCCGTGGTAAGCTCCAGAAGACCATCGGAGTTGATGATTGTGAGTGCCCATCCCGAACATATCATGAGGACACCCTACTGATGGGCTCGCAGGGTTCTGTATCTGGGCGCAAGTTTGTGCGTGGTTGTTTGCCATCTTGTGCATGCTCAGTACGTATCAAGACTAAGATGTACGGTAAAGGCATTACTAATATGGGCAGATATCAGAAACGGATATGGGGTCCACATTTGGGATTTATACCTCAGTGAGATCAAGCCTTTCAAGCAGGTACGTTTCACAGGTGTGCCCCACACATAGCGGGCCGCAACTAATAATTGCAGTATGATCTTGCGGCCGAGGACATCTTCGTTGTCGGAATCTGGCTGGTCAAAACGTCCATCTTGTTGTTCTACCTGCGGTTGAGCCCCGAAAAGCGGTTCCGGCAGATGACATACGGCATCATGGTCTTCGTTGCCTTGTACAATATCATCAGTTTGCTGGTCTTTACCCTTGGCTGTATACCGGTGCAGGCTAGTTGGGATGTGACCTTGATGCCGACAGCCAAATGTGTTGACCAACTCTCCTTTGTCTATGCCAATGCGGCTTTCAACCTGTTCTCCGATCTTATCACCTTGGCACTACCCATTCGACTCTGCTGGTCTCTTCAGACTACTCTCAAGCAGCGGGTGCTATTGATGATAGTGCTGATGATGGGATCCTTGTAAGTGTCTCACGTATGGTCATCACTCTCCCTAGTTAAGCTAATATGGTGATTTCGTAAACAGCGCGTGTGTGATTGCAATCATCCGGATTGTGACCATGATGCCCTTTGTCTCTAGTATGGATCTTACCTGGTACAAGGTGACTTTAGCCAAGTGGGCGTAAGTATTCGTGCCTTTTCGACCCTCATTTGGGCACTCAACTGACACGTAAACACAGAATGGTGGAGATCAACGTGGGTATCATCTGTTCGTGCCTGCCGGTGATGCGGCCTCTACTCATCCGGTTCTTCCCCACTGTTTTTGGCAGCCACGCCAGCAGTGGAGTCAGGCCCATCCGCCCTGCCGATGCCAAGGATACTTTCGGTGCGGCGCGCAAGAAGGTCATTCGCAACTGGGACTACCTCAGTACGATCAAAGGAACCAACGCGGGTGAGACTACCCAGGATGTTGAGAGCCTGCACGAGGAGCCTAAGCAAGAAAATGGCAATTCCGAGCCGGCTATCATGATGGCGACCGAGTATTCGGTGACCTGCAAGCGGCGGTCGGAATAAATGATCAATTAAAATGGCTTTTCGTCTTGAAAAGTGCTCAACCATTTTCGAGGAGAAGGCGTCAATAATGGGATCCGAATCACAGAGACCTGTCTTGGGCAGACATGCTTGAATGGGGATCTCATCATAGGGGCGGCTGGCTGTATCTGCTATCCACTAAATTAATCTGAAGGGCCAGACCCGGCTCACTACTACATACACTAATAATCAAACGTTGATATTATTTATTTAGTTGTAAAGGATAGCAGTCGGTGGCACTCAATTGATGGAAACAATTGCAACTGCTACAATTTGTATTCAGTAAATGGTAAAGCACACGACTGTCAAAGCCGACAAAAATATCAGCAGGCCAAGAAACGATGGTAAGAGGTAAAGGAAAAGCCGGGTTTTATAAGTTTTCTTAAAAGGTAGTTGATGGGCAATCATAGGATTTAAGTATTTATTCAAGAATTGCAGGTCACGACGCAAGATCATGGTAAGTCCTGCGCATTAGTATGTTGAGTGGCTTTGGCACCAGATTCTAGGACAATAAACATTAGTCCACTGTGTCGTGTGTGATCGCCTTGAGTAATACAAATGGTAAAATATACTTATAATTCCAGAGAGAGTCACAAGCAAACATCTGGAAGCTCCTAGTACCCAAGAGAGCCATCTCTCCATTAGCGACAAGCAAATCATACCTCATATCTTACAATATGAAACAGCAGTGAAGACTATTCAAAGGCATTGGTTTTTCGTGAAGGACTGTAATTTACAACTTGTGTACGAGTCATCGACTGTGCCCAACTCAAAATGTCAAATCTCAACGCCGATCAGGGTTCTGCGACGTCAGTAAATGTATCTGACTGCCGATCCTCCAACCTCCAACAGGTCACCCTGCTACCGTAGATCTGACCGCTAATCGGATCTGACCAACCTGACAGCAGCCCCGAGGCGTAGCTTACCTTTGGAGCTTTGTGTCAGTAAGTAAAGAAGGGAATATTGACTTAGAGAGTTCGATCCGATGAACATCTCAAGCAACAAAAACCAGTCACGGGTGTTGTCAGTAGGTGTCAACTAAAGTGCGCTGAACGGGCCAGATACCTAGTTGTCTCTTGTGCGTAGATTTCGCGGTGATGAGTGTACTATATCCCTTGTTGGCTCCGATCGCTTCCTTTCATGTGCACAGCAATTCTAAGCCCACAAGTAATATGCAGCTCTTCCCCGCAGGTTGTTGTGATTTGAGTAGGTGACTTCTTTCTTTCTAGTAGTTAATGCATGGCTGCAATAGAATATGGATCCTGGGGAGATGAGTGCAGAGAGAACATTGATGACCAGGCAGGGTGTGTAAAGGACCGATCCATTGGACCTTGACTGATTGGCGTGGTTGACATCCATTCATTCGATGCCGAACGTCTGTTAACGGCCCTACTGTTGATTGGAAGTATTATGAAGGATAGAGAAGCTATGTATGTTTTTCAGAGCTAGCACCACCACTCAACAATAACTCAAATAATGTGTTTAATGGAAATGGTAGTAATACCCTATGAATTCAATGTTGGCCCTTAGTTTCGGCGTAGCGAGGCCGATCCTAAGGTCAAATGGTGCTGGTGTAGGTAAGCGTCGATTCATCAACATATGTCAGTTCCTGCCACTGGTTGTCCGAGGAAGATCACAACAGACATCCCAAGAAGAAGTAAACATCTCAAGGGCATTTAGAGTTTTCCTGACATATCCATAGGATGTATAACATTGTGTGATACTTCACGGGCTGGGTCGGTGTGTGAGAACAGGAAGGGCGGTGGCCACGTGGCCTGAGGCCACCTCATTCAATTCCTCCCCCTACTGTAGACCTACTTACTTATCCGTTCATAATGCTGTTTATTCAGAACCAGGCCAGAACCATATCCTGAAGATCAAGACTGCAACTATCCACAGCGAGGTGTGCAGACATCATGACTGACTGAAGAGAGATGATAAACTAACCATCAACATTCACCGGTAACAACCATTTCCTCCACGGCGGGGTGTGCCAGCCACCACTTCATTACCACCCATAACCAACTGGAGCCACCATGAGGTTCTAGCGGTGTGTCCCTCTGTCAAATGCGAGATACAATGCATAGCGTGGTAGTTTTAGCAGCAGCTGCACGGTGTAGAACATTTGATATGATGGATCAGTCGGACTGTCCGGTAAGACACGAGGATATGCTCCGATTTCAGCATGTAATGGGAGTCTCTCACGGTCCGAACTGGGTATAAGTTCGAGTCTGTGTCCAGCCCCAACAGTTTCTGAGTTCAAGATATTACCATCTGAACACGGCGCAGTATATCAGCACACCCCAGGTTGAATTCTTGAGTCATAACCTATCACTTTGAGCTGGGTGGGTTCAATACTATAACGTTCAAGTCTCACATCGCTTAGCAAATCTCATAATGGAGACCAAAAGGGACATCAACGGCATTTTTCCAAGCCTAAACGACAGTGTAGAGGCAGAATGCACCATCCGGGCGCAAGATATTCTCCCTCTTCCAGTTATGGACATTGAGAAGTTCTGTCACGACACTGGAATTGCAACCTCATTGTTTATAAGGACTGTGTGGTTAGTTGTCATGTGGCCATTTCTGGAGATTGACCGTATATGCGTTGGTTATCGGGACTATCGCGATAGCTCTCCACACCTGGCATCAGGCCCCGAGAAAGTCATCCAATCAGACATACTACCCGATGCCTCATTGATAGAGCTGCTCAAGTCGGATCTCGGTACAGAGCCGGAGGATCTCTGTGCCGAGTGCCCTCCAGCTCATAATACCGCCATTGCCCTGATTCGAGAAATTTCAGAATCTGATCAATCGAAATTCCTGATGGAGGTGAGTCTTGATATCCGCCCACATAGCAGCAGACTGGGTAAGGTTGGGTGCTAATGGGAATTTATAGGCCGAAAAGTGGAACTATAGCATTGCGTTGGTGGGTGAGGTAAACGAACTGTCAGCCTTGGTGAGACTATCGTTAGTCCACAAGAGTTCAGCCCTCTCACCATGCCTTGCTGAGAACATTTCGTCCACCGTCTTGAAGGTTGTCCAGGAGATCTTGGCCGACAGTAATAGACGCATCATGGACCTGGCGCTATTCAGCGAATTAAACTGCGCCCATGTTCTACGATGGAACCTCAAGAATAGTCGGGGTCCAGCAACATCTCTGATTGAGATGATCCATCGGCATGCATGCGAGCGGCCTCATCACCCAGCTATTTGTGCTTGGGATGGGGTCCTTTCCTACTCTGAGTTTGACTCCTTGACAACACGATGGGCCACCCGTCTTCAATCTTTGGGAATTGGGCCGCAGAGCATGGTCCCTGTCATGATGACCAACCCTCGGTGGATGACTGTGGCAGAAATTGCCATCATGAAAGCCGGTGGCGCTTTTGTGCCCCTTGAGCCAACCCAACCGACAAGTCGACTGCAGGACATGGTTAGACAGCTAAACAGTACGGTTGCGCTTGCGTCTTCGGACGTGGTACCAATTCTATCAAGTCTCGTTGACAATGTTGTTATTGTATCTGCGAAAACAACATCAAGCCTGTCAAACGCCCCTTCGAATCCTCAGTGGCCAAAGATCACCCCCGATACCACGGCGTATGTGCTATTTACATCTGGAAGTACCGGAAAGCCTAAGGGTTGCGTTGTTTGCCATGGGGCGTTGGAAAATGTGGAATACCAGTCACAGGCGCTCAGAATTACAGCCGAGAGCCGGGTGTTGCAATTTGCCTCGCACGGCTTTGCGGCGTCCCTGATGGAGGTGCACTGTTCACTAGCAGTAGGCGCTACAGTCTGCATCCCGTCGAAGGAAGATTGCATGAATGGACTCAATAGCGCGATAGACTCAATGCAGGTCAACTGGGCGGTACTCACCCCCTCAGCAGCACTATCACTAGCAACCCCTCTAGGGTCCTTGAAGACACTAGCCTTCGCTGGTGAGCCCATGCGCAGCGACCTCTTCCATAAGTTGGCGGACGAGGTAGATATGCTCCTAGTATACGCATCCACTGAATGGGCAGGTGTCTGTGTCTCTCAGCCCATTCGTTCTGCGACAGATATCAGATGCATTGGTCCCTCGCCGACAGGGAATCTTTGGTTGGTGGATCCTACGGATCATAGTCGCCTGGCACCAGTCGGGGCTGTTGGTGAAGTGTTGATTGAGAGTCCCGGACTTGCAAAGGGATATCTCAACAATGAATCTCAAACGGCATCTACATTCATTGATCCTCCAAGGTGGCTCCATGCGATGGCCTCGGGAACCTATACTAAAGCTAGACTTTACAAAACGGGCGACTTGGCGCAGGACTATGCCGACGGCAAACTCCGGTACATCGGCCGCAAAAGTACGCAGGTGAAGATCCGCGGAAAACGACTCGAACTGGGCGAGGTAGAGTACCAGATTCGTCAGACCAGCCCATCGGTGGAAAAGGTCATAGTGGAAGCTGCTGCCCCAAAGGGCGGCGAGACACCGATCGTCGTTGCTTTCTTGTACTCTCAAGACCAGCCGGCTTTGTTGCTACATTTCCAAGCATATGTGGACACAATCAAGGAGACGCTGGAGAAAACTCTGCCCGACCACATGTGGCCAAGCATATACCTCCCACTCGAATCTGTTCCGTTGACCAGAACGGGAAAAACCGACCGAAAGGCACTGCGTCAGATTATTTCCACCTCTACTCGTCAGGAACTGCAGGATGACCAGACACCGACATCTCCTGCCGTGGCACCAGTGACTGAGTTCGAGATCAAATTGCATCAGCTTTTTGCGGAAATATTGAATATCGAGTCATCTTCCTTTGGCATCAATCATAGCTTTATACGACTTGGCGGGGATTCTATCAGCGCCATGCGTTTGGCTAATCGTTGTAGTCAGATGGGTTACAGCTTGACAATGCAAGATATCGTTCAAGAGCAGACGGTGGCCAATCTTGCCTTGCAGCTAGATTGGTGCAATAAGACTAACGCATCATCTACCACACCAGTCAGTAAACAGCGGGTCACCGAACAGTCTTTCGAGCCATTGAGCGAATCTGTCCTCCTTGAGGAATTTATCATTATAGTTGGAGTCAGCGTCAGTGCTACGGATCGTCTAACTGATTATGACGTTGATTCTACAATGGCTACCAAGTTTGCTGACCGGATCAATCGACGTCTCGGCATTAATATCACAGTCGAAGAGGTTTTCCAGTTTCCAACAATAGCTGCTCTCGCGAAAGGGCTCGAATCGCAATTCAAGGGGTTTTCGCTAATACCGAAGACTCCATATACTGGCCCGGTGATACAGTCATTTGCACAGGGTCGCCTATGGTTTCTGGACCAATTGCATCCCGGCTCAACATGGTATGCCCTGCCTTTCGCTATACGACTTCGCGGCCAGCTCGACCTTGCCGCGCTGGAGGTAGCCTTGAATGCAGTAGTAGAGCGCCATGAGACTTTGCGCACCACGTTCGAAGACCAGCATGGGCTTGGGGTGCAAGTGGTTCATTCCTTTGAGCCAAAACAGCTCAAGATTGTCGACATGACTATCAGCAACAACCAGGACATCTGCGAGGCTCTGCAGAGGGAACAACGAACCGCCTTCAACTTGAAGGCTGAGCCGGGATGGAGACCTTTAGTTTATCGCCTGGGAGCTGATGATCATGTGCTGTCAATTTTCATGCATCACATTATCTCCGACGGGTGGTCGCTGGATATTCTTCAGAAGGAGTTGAATGTCTTCTATTCTGCAGCAATACGGGGACTTTCACCTCTTTCCCAAATCGACCCGCTTTCAACAAATTATCGTGACTTTTCAGTTTGGCAACGGCAGCAGGAAGATGAGAATCAATCGCAAGTCAGTTACTGGATTAGGGAAATCGAAGGAAGCAAGCCCGCTGAACTGCTCTGTGACAAGCCACGTCCCCCAATCCTCTCCGGTGACGCTGGACTTCAAGCGGTTGATATACGTGGAGCACTTTACAGGAAACTAAAGCTCTTCTGCAAAGCTCACCAGGTCACCGCTTACACCGTGCTGCTTGCGGCTTTCAGGGCGGCGCAATATCGTCTTACCGGTGCTGAGGACGTGATTATCGGGGCGCCATTCGCCAGCCGGCATCACCAAGAACTGGAGCCACTCATTGGATTCTTTGTCAATCTGCAATGTATCCGCACGAAGGTTGAGCATGCGTGTACGACATTCTATCAACTGGTTCAGCAGATTCAGGGAAAGTTGAGCATGGCATTCGATAACCAAGATCTTCCGTTCGAGAAACTTGTGTCGAAGCTAACAGAAGAGCGTGATATTTCCCGAAACCCACTTGTTCAGATCGTCTTCGCTGTCCACTCCCAATCCGACTCAGGCAAGTTAGCGTTTGAAGGTGTGGAGGCTCAACGGCTCACTCTGTCATCGGCCTCCAGGTTTGACATGGAATTCCACTTCTACCAGGCAGAAGACAGTTTTCGAGGGGAGATCCTCTTTTCCCTTGACCTTTTCCACCATGAGACCATAAGCATGCTTCATTTGGTTTTCATTGACATCCTTGAACACGGCCTAGCTCAACCTACTACGCCTATTGATTTGATGCCGTTTACGAACGCCAAATCCTCTCTGGAGAAGTATGGCCTCCTCGAAATGCAGAAAACAGATTATCCACGGGAATCCAGTATCGTCGATGTGTTTCAACGGCAAGTCAGATGCTGCCCCGACAAAGTCGCTGTCAAAGACTCCTCCACGCAGCTCACATACCATGAGCTAGACTTGGAATCAGATCGAGTCGCAATTTTTCTGACCAACCAGTCGCTAGCACCAGAAACGGTGATTGGGGTCTATGCAGACAGGGGATGCGAGACAGTAACCGCATTTTTGGGCATCTTGAAGGCGAATCTCGCTTACTTACCCCTCGATGTGAAATCCCCGGTCAGCCGCCTGGACATCATTTTGTCATCCACTCAAGCTTGCGAACTTATCCTTCTAGGGGGCCACATTGAGCCCCCTAGTATCAGTCTGAGCCACCTTCACTTTTTCTCCATCTCCGATATCCTGGCTGCAACGGTCCAAGGTGAGACACCTAGTCCGCATGCGGCGAGGACTAGCATGCCCCGTGCCGACAGTGTCGCATACGTTGTGTATACATCTGGCTCCACGGGAATACCCAAGGGAGTTATAATGCAACACAAGGCAATAGTCAGGTTGACACAGTGTACTAGTGTCATCAGTCCTGACTCTGCTGCTGGAAACATAGCACATATGAGCAATCTTGCTTTCGACATGTCGGTGTGGGAGATATACACAGCACTCCTCAACGGAGGAACATTGGTCTGCATCGACCATATCACTGTACTCGACTACAGATCACTCGCTCAGACCTTCGTTCGGGAGAGCATTCAAGTTGCCATGATAACGCCAGCTATGCTTAAACAGTGCTTGATTGAATCCCCGTCCATTATCAGTCAGTTGGACATCCTGTTTGCCGCAGGAGACCGTCTGGATCCATTGGATGCTACGAAAGCCCGCGCGTTGGTGCGAGGGGAGCTGATAAATGCTTATGGGCCGACTGAAAACGGGGTACTGAGCACCATCTATAGCGTTACGGAGAAAGAGGCCTACCCCCATCGTGTTCCTATAGGTACACCTGTGAGCAATTCTGGTGCCTACGTAATGGATCCGAGAAATAAGCTGGTTCCTGTGGGAATAATGGGCGAGCTCATCGTTACTGGCGACGGGTTGGCTAAAGGGTATATTGACTCAAGGCTCGATGCTGACCGTTTTGTGATGTTGGATCTCCCCGGGCAACCATCAATGCGGGCCTACCGGACCGGGGATCTTGCTCGATATCGGCCCACTGATGGCCAGCTTGAATACCTTGGTCGCAGGGATCACCAGGTGAAAATACGTGGCCATCGCGTGGAGGTGGATGAGATCGATCAGTCTATGCTCGCTTACGGCTTTATCAAGCATGCTGTTACAATTATCCGACATGAAAAAGCTGGGGATGCAGAGTTGGTCAGCTTCATCACAGTTCGTGAAGGCGAGGGCTTGTCCCTAGGCGGGGAAGTAGAGACCGATGACGGCGCCCAGCAGATAGAAGCATGGAAAAATCTCTTCGATACCAACATATATGGTATTTCGCGCCTTCGATCCATTAAGGTTGGAAGGGACTTTGTAGGGTGGAAGTCGATGTATACCGGTGACTTGATTGACAATGCAGAAATGAATGAATGGCTAGATGACACCATTGGCGCCCTCCTTGATGGGGGCTCAGCTGGCCATGTCTTTGAGGTTGGGACAGGCACCGGCATGATTCTCTTCAATATCATCGCGGGGCTAGAGAGCTACACTGCGCTTGAGCCATCAGGCAGGGCAGTCGATTTTGTCCGGGCAGCAGTCACAGATGTTCCTGGTTTACAGGCCAAGGTCCGGTTGCAAAAAGGGACAGCCGACAATATCTCCCAGCTTGAAAGATCTGACTCCGTCGATGTGGCCATCATCAACTCTGTGGCGCAGTACTTTCCGTCCACTGATTATCTGCTCAAAGTTGTCGAGGACCTTGTGTGCCTGCAAGGCGCCAAACGCATCTTCTTTGGTGACATACGATCATATGCGCTGTACGAAGAATTTCAAGTGAGCAAGGCCTTGGCCAGTAGTACGCAGAAGTTACCCACCATGGATGATGTTCGAGCACAGATGGCCGAAACAGTTCACATGGAAGAGGAGCTGTTGGTAGACCCGGCCTTTTTCACATCCTTACCAGACCGATTCCGGCAGCTTATTGAGCATGTGGAAATTCTTCCCAAGCGTATGGTAGCCACCAACGAGCTCAGTTGTTACCGGTATGCCGCGGTCTTGCACGCGAAGCACCGACAAGCTCAGCGACGGCACATTCACGATGTTGAAGAGGATCAATGGGTTGACTTTACGGCGAGGAAGATGAACTACGAGTCTCTTTTGGCATATCTGCAGCAGCAGCCCAATGACACATCCGTGGTGGCGATAAGCAATATCCCTTACAGGAAGACTATCCTGGAGCGACTTATCGTAGACCTGCTCAAGGGTCGCCTGGTTGAAAGGGTTGGAGGGCCTGGATGGGTTCAGTCACTCGATGAAATCGCCAGACATATTCCGTCCCTCACACCACTCGATCTAACCAGATTAGCCAAGCAGTCTGGTTTCCAAGCCGAAATCAGCTGGGCCCGACAACACACCCAACGCGGCGGGCTGGATGCCATATTCCACCGCATTCAGCCTGACCACAAGGGCGCAAGGGTGCTATTCCGGTTCCCAACTGACCACTGTGAACGGCCCCTCCGCCAATTGACTAACAACCCACGACAGTTGGCATTAAATCGAGATATAGGGAACTGGGTGCGAAAGGCCTTGCAAACGACATTGCCTCCGTACATGGTGCCCAGAATCATCCGAGTTTTGGAGCAAATACCTGTCAACAGCAATGGGAAAGTTGACCGCAAGGCTTTGGCAAGCATGGCTGCTGTCTATACATCCCAAAACACCATCACAGCTAGAGTAAACCCGCATGATGATGTCGAACGTGCATTGCTTGCCGAATTTACGAAGGTGCTAGGCAGAGAAATCGGCATATCTGCGAGCTTTTTTGACCACGGAGGACACTCCCTGACTGCGGTAAAGTTGGTTGTTGGAATCAACCAAAGCCTCCATACTGATGTGAAAGTCGGTGATATTTTCGAGTGTCCAACTGCTGCCGGTCTGGCGGAAAGGATCCGATCTTGGCGCAGTTCGACACACGATGTCCCTGCCTCTCAGAATTCAACCTCGAGCTCCGCGCCATTCTCGCTTGTCGGAGGTAGTCTCCCATCTGCCGTTACGAGCGAGCTTGTCAGAATCGGACTGAATCCCACCGAAGTAGCTGATGTAGTTCCTGTCACGGACACACAAGCTTGGTTCCTTAACCGTTGGACCCCAGTCTCCATGCGCCTTAATATCCATGGCAAGGTCGATCTGAATGAGCTTAGAAGGGCTTGTATTGCAGTGATACAAAAGCACAGTATATTACGCACTGTCTTTATGAAACTCGAACGGAGATTCGTTCAGGTTGTATTGCGAGCTGTCAACGTTCCATTTACCTACAAGTCGGTCGGGGGTGCAATTCACGATGAAGCTGATTCCGGTGCTTCCGATGTCCCCACAAAGTTATTTACAAAGTTTGAACTCGTTTCTCAGTCTCCGATAGACCACACATTCGTTGTCCGGTTGTCTCATGCACAGTACGACGGATTTTCGCTGCCGCTCCTCTTCGCTGATTTGGAGTCAGCTTACAATGGCTGTCAACTCTCACCACCAATAGCAGTACCCTTCGCGGAGTATGTATATAGATCTGCCAAATACCGCTCACCAGAGGCATTCAGCTTCTGGAAAGACTATCTGCGAGGATCTCGTCTGACCACCTTATCGGACCCCACCCTTCCAGGAGAGGCCAAAGCTACAGATGTGAAAGCAATCGTAGCTGGTGAACTCCCCTCACCACCGCCAGGAATCACGCTCGCAATTCTTGTCAATGCAGCGTTCGCTTTCACATTGGCCGAGACGGCCAAAGCCCACGACGTAACATATGGACTGTCTCTGAACGCCCGTGGACCCATCCCAGGAGTGGAGACTCTCCTTGGGCCCTGCTTCAACCGCAGTCCCATCAGAGTGCAATTGCAGCAGAATTGGACGGTCCTTGACCTTTGTCGGAGCTTACAGGAGAGCTGCACCTCGGCCTCCCGTCTCGGATACGTCGAACTGCCCGACATCATTGCTAATTGCACTAACTGGTCGGCAGGCAGTGACTACGGCTGCTACTTGAATCATTTCCCTACGCAAAGTATTCCATCGTTCTCATTCAAAGACGCCGAAGTTGTGCAATATTCAATGGACGGCCGGGGCGATTTGCCGCATCAGCTGCGAGTTCGTTCATTTGTTGATGAGCGAACGTGGGAAATACAGGTGCTTACTTCGAGCAGTGTGATGAGCAATGAGCAGGCTTCTGTGTTGGCTTCCAGGCTTTTGAAAACTGGGCAAAGATTCTCGCAGTCTCCAGAAGTCGCCTTGTTTTCACCCCTTTTGCGCGACGGTTGTGTTGATGGAGCAGTGGATGGTGTGGCGTTTTGAGTTGCCCGAGATGAGAACGGGATTCGCAAGGAAATTCCGGTCTGACCATATGTAGCATGCTGATCTGCTATTTATACTTGCTGAGCTCAATGCAAAGCTAGTCCTTGAGCATAATCTGAGCTTTCAGGGTCGCAGGACGTTATATATGTGTTGCTTTTCATATGCAATCAAGCGTGGTATTCGCGTCGATGTTTTAATGGTGCCTTCAGTAGCACCAAGCTTTCTTCTAGAATGGGGTTTGTTAACTTCTGCTGTCCCGTTAAGATAGGTAAAGGCATAGATAAAATGGGTACCGGAATCTACAGTGTATCCTTCAATACTCGGGGACCAAGTAAAATTTGCTGCGCTATATAGCAGCCTACCAAGCTCGCCGAAAGACTGAAACGTCTATTGCACACATAATGCAATTGCATTAAAGCATGATTGCATATCATTCGTATAGGCAGTAAATATTAGGTACAGCATTCGCGACCGTAACATGTCATAAAGTCCCATCATCCATCGTCATCATCTGGCCGTATAGACACAATTATTATTTTCCCGAGACTGCGTGGAAAGGTGGCCATTCCTCTCCTCTATACATTGTTCCATCATTCATTATACACCATCCACTCAAATCGCATCGACATTATCGTAGAAAATATCATGAAGTCAATCCCTCAGTTGCACACCAACTTGTAGCTGACATATTCGGCATCGCCTTGGAGGCATTGTCCCAGAGTGACATTGTGCTGACCGGCGGAGCAATCGTCTTCAGTGAAGATTTGCACTGTATACAGAATTAGCAAGGCACGCGAAATTGTATAATCTTGGCAGAGGAGAAAAGCTTACCACCGCAGCCGGCGACATTGTATTCGAAGCTAACAGATTCGATGGTTTGGTTGCCGGGGAAGGTTTTGCATTGGTTGAGAGCCGATCGGTAAATGCCCAGTTCGCCCATGTTTTGATCATAGCAGCCGGGTTCGCCGAACAGGCGAAGTTGAGCGAGACGAGTGTCGCCAGTAGGGAGGGCCAGGGTTGAGATGATCATTGCCATCAGAGCGGAGAGGAGCAGGGTGAATTGCATTTTGGCGGTTGAGATAGTATTGGAGATGAGGAGTATTTCTCGATGTAGTAGGGTGGTAATAGTCGTAAGTATTATAAGCTTATATGAATTATTAGGTTTAGAAGAGTGAGGTTGTTGATAATAAAGAGGAAATAAGCAGGTGCATGCCCTCTTTTTATAGACAACCGACTGTCAGTCAGCGTGAATGGCCCCAGTTATCGGTCTCCCCGCAACAACAACAACCACCAGCTACTAGTGTTAGCCTAGACTTTCATCAATTGGGGATTTCGCGCATCCGCGGGGGCAAAGATCGGCGCCTTGCCTCGACGATCCCTGCCATTCAAGACCAAAAGTGATGCCGTCCGTCAGCCGAGTTGGACCCTCTCATGATGCCATTGCAACCTTAATAGCGGCGAATCCTCTCACCGTCTTTCCAAGCTCTGCCTTTTTCTCTTCTGCCCTTGGGGTTCCTTAAAAATGCCTTCACTAGTATAATTATATCTGCTATTCAATTCATTCACTCCTCTTCTTCTTGCCTCAGTTCCCGCCGTTGAGTGAGAGTCCACTGCCGGCCCAGGTTACAATCAATCGATCGAAGGCGGGGGCTGGGCGCCGCTGAGGCTGGGAGCTTTGGGGGGCTGAAGGGACGGCTCACTGCATGCATGTCTCGGATGCGCCACGTCCATCATTTGGGGTTTTCCAGGCCGGGTGGGGATGGCGATCATGGAGCCACAGTGGGATGAAGTGGCCCTGGTGAATCCTGTTCATCCTTCGCGGCAGGTGGACGAGCCGGATCACCGGATCAAATCGGATAATCGAGGGCAGGGCGATTAATCGGCAATAAAAGCCTCCTGGTTTCATTATTGGGAACACGAGAGAAGTTGTTGTGTTGTTATGAATATTGCCCGGATGCGACCGCAGTGAAGTGTTGGAGAGGCAGTCCGACTGAATGTTTCTATTCCAAGCGGCAGTCAGTCGGGATGTGCTGGCTGGTGCAGCTGAACACCGCATCACCATCTGTCACCATTCATTGCCGATGCACTCAGCAACCTGTCAATGCCCAGTGGGATGCACTGTGCTAAGAATAGCTGGAATGCAGGATATCGATAAGAATAGAACAGTGTGGCAGGGCTGAGGGGCACGATGCAGGCGAAGATTATCACTGGGGTGATGATGTGGATAAAATGTTGGACCCTCACAATGCCGGATAAATCACACCAAGCAGTCGGCAGTGCAACATCAACAACATGATTCTCAATCTATCCCATCACATCACGTCGCAGATATCCGGTAGAAGATGGGGATGGACACGGAGCAAACCGCGTCACACCGACAACGCCAAGGCAGTGGCCGGTTCACAATCGCCACAATGTGCCAGGACAACCATGTCGCCTCGGAATGACCTGGATGTAAATCCCTCCCAGCCAGCTTCATTTATCGAAATGGATTGTGCAAACATCTCCCAAGGATCCAGAGGTTGGTCGATGGACTAGCTGAGGAGAGGCGATATTCACAACTCTCGTCAACCACCCTTCCAACATCACCGACTCGCAATGGACGGAGACCGGATCGGCTGGAAGAAAGTGACTTGGATACGGAAAACAGATCCTACTGCCAGCTAACACTTGTAGAAGACTTTGACAAGATCGGAGCTGCATGCAAAGAACTTCGGGCGACATCCAAGCAAGATCCCGCAGCGTCGGACTCGCAGACAGGTTCAAGAGTATAAAAGTCGCCGAGCAACCCGCCTTATCCTCTGTAGACGTCGTCCGATCGCATACTATCTGCAGCGGGGCGAGCCCGCTCTCCATCCCGATGATGAAGAAGGGGAGAGAAGTCGTGAAGATGCCATTTCGCCTGGGGGCATCGGTGTAACTCCGGATGCCCGATCAATTGCTCTGCGTGATGATCATTCTTCCATCGACCTCCGATCGGACCCCAAAACACAATGACACGTCCATGATTTATCCCTTGAGGCAGTTCTAGACTTTCGAAGGGATGCTCTAGACTTTCTGCCTCATCGCGCAGGGCTCCGACGCGGCCCGCCGGTCGGCAAGGATGCATTAATCGTGTCAATAATCGCTCGCCTCGCTGGGACCTTCTGCACCTTCTACTGCCTTCTGCCGCGGCTGGTGGGCTCCACCGAACATTCTTGGATTCGGGGTTATCCCAAGATTCCCAACAACTGGACGCGGATGGATCCACTCTGCCGCCATCCTCCGCTTCTCTCAACACTGCATTTGACATTGAGCAGGATGCAATGTATTCAGTCCGTATATCATGGCGGGAAGGGAGGATCACGACAGACATTACGATTGAAATTTCACTGTCATGTATCTTAGTTAGTTTCATAGGAATTTGGACATAGTCAGCTAGATCCCACACGGGGCTGGAACTGGTCACGTGCACTCATCTGCCTCGGTTGGGTTCTCAGGACAGAAGCTTCCGATTTAACATGATAATACTTGAACATGGGGTGTCTAAGCATCATCAGACCCATAAATATTTTATATTCCGTTTCAGCAGGATCCTTGATCGTCTGTCCCTTAAAAAAAGGCTTCAATTCTGACTTCCACTACTAGTAGTAGTCTGCTATCTACGAGCACGAAGTTATAAACGCTACTTAGTGATCGTGGGTCCTACAAGGTGACCATGTTCAGGAAATTATGCTGCCAATTGTCACTTACTGCCACTAGTTTTACGAGAATTATTACTTCCATGCTACTCTGCATACTACCAGAAGTCCGATCTTCAGTGTGTTCACCTGCTACTAGTAATTCCACATAATGTAACTTGGTGTGGATAGTATATATATTAACTGCCAAATCGCGTGTCTTAGTACACTGTCAGTTTAATTCAACTGGTATGATGATCAAAAGGCACAAACTCCAATCTTCCCCAAGAACTAGTAGTATCAGATGGACGACCCTAATAATAAACTCAGACTTGATGCTATAGCACACAGACAGTGACAGTGCCTTTCAGTTGAACATCCCCACACATATGCACGCATGTACATAAGGCGCAACGGATGATACGGAGGTCCGCACCGCCCGGAAAGGTGGAGTCGACTTCTGCGGCCACCCGCCGATAGCATCCCCGATGTCAACACCTGCGAGAGATCTACATTTCTAGGTTTGCGGTAGCACCCGGACGTAGGTATTCTTGTGAGAAACAGCATCCAGCTAATGGTGGTTCTGACTCGGGACCAGCTTCCCTTTTGTTGATGCAGGGATAAAATACAGCCACTGGGCAAGTCATACAATCTTTGCAGTGCTTCTGTGGACAGAAGTTGGGATGCATAGCAACAAAAGATTCTAAGTGCGACTTAAGTTTTCACATCATGCGCCGAAAGTGCTCTTTCCGCCTCCCTTGGATATGTAGACAGAGGCTATGCTATGCTCTGGAAAGCGCGATTGGCTACGCCTGAACCACCGAGCCCTCATTAGCGCCGAAGCGTTCGACCGGCCGACCAGACAGACTGCCCGGCTACCCATCACGTTACAGACGCTAATGCAAGGTCGCTGTGCCAGATAATTGCTCGGTTTCGAGGGACATGGGCGGTTAGAGTAGATGGGTGATGTCCCTGGAGCTGGCATCGCCTCTTTAATCTGATCTCCTGCCGCGACAGAAGTAATTCCTCGCTTTGTCGCAATACTCCATGTCCCATTATCTGACTTAACCAAAGCTACATCGTCATGCCTACCACACCCGCGGAAGAGGCGTTGCATCAGCTGCAACGAGAACAGTCTAAGCTGCTAGATGGCATCGACGAGCTACGAGCGATTGGAGTCGGCAGCCTCGTGGAACTTCCTCAGCTGGTGGTCTGCGGTAACCAGTCAAGTGGAAAGAGTTCCGTCCTTGAAGCTATCTCCAGAGTTAGATTCCCAGCGAAAAGCAACATCTGTACGAGATTCGCGACCGAAGTCATCCTGCGCCGAAGCCCAACACCCACAATTAAGATCTCCATCGAACCGGGGCCATCGCGTAAAGATGCACGAGAACGAGCAATTCTGCAGGCGTTTGCACAGGAGCTATCCCCAGCCGATAATGATTTACCAACTATCATCGAGAAGGCCAAAGGTCAAATGGGCGTAAATGAAACAGCCCATTCTGGATTTAGTGATGATGTTCTAAAGGTCGAGATTCTGGGGCCTGATCAGCCAGAATTGACCTTGGTGGACTTGCCTGGCCTTTATTACTCTGTGAGCCAGGACCAGAGCTTGGAAGGAATCAGGGTAGTCCGAACCTTGACGGAAAAGTATATGAAGAACAAAAGAAGCATCATTCTTGCAGTCATCAGCGCAAAGGCCGACTACCATCTCCAGGAGGTTCTGAACATTGCTGAACGGTTTGATTCAAAGCGGGAGCGCACGCTCGGAATCATCACGCAACCGGATACTCTTGAACCCGACTCAGAGGAGGAGAAGACGTATCTCCAGTTTGTCTCTAATGAAAAAATTCGATTGCAGTTAGGGTGGCACGTTTTGCGCAATCGCTCCTTTGAAACACGGGATATCCCGGATGACGCTCGCGATGCAAGAGAGAAGGAATTCTTCAACCAGGGCCGATGGTCATCTCTATCAAGGAACAATGTCGGAATAGAGAGTCTCCGGCGGCGCCTCAGCAGTATTTTGTTTATTCAAATTCGTCGTAACCTTCCCGGGCTATTAGCCGACATCAAAGAAAAGGCTTCTGATCGGGAGAAGGCGCTCTCAAAGCTGGGCTCCCCACGCACCACCCGACAACAGCAAAGGGGATATCTTCTCAACATCAGCACCAGCTTTGAGCGCATCACAGGGCAAGCGTTGCACGGGCTTTATGCCGACGAGTTCTTTGGCGCGTTTGAGAGTATAAGTGATATTCACGATTTCCGGCGACTCAGGGCCGTCATCAGGCAGTTGAATGAATACTTCGCTGACGCCATGGCCACTCGAGGGTCCCGGCGGATCATCGTAGATCGTTTCCCTGGGTTCGGTCAGGAATCCGCGCCACTCGACTTGAAAAATCCTTACTTATCTGGAAAGTTACCACATTATGTCCTTCGGAAAAATCTGGAAGAGGAGGTCGCCGAACAGGCTCGGAAAAACAGAGGGATTGAGCTGCCAGGCAGCGCCAACCAGCTCCTTGTTGGTAGCCTGTTTCGCGATCAGTCCCTTCCATGGGAAGGGCTTGCCAAAGAGCACCTCATGAAGACCTGGGAATCAGTGCGGTATTTTGCGTTACTTGTGATGCAGCACACAGCCGACGACCATACGTTCTCCTTGCTGGTTGGATTAATTATTGAGCCCGCATTGGACAAGCTGAGGCAAAACTTGCTGGCCAAGCTCGATGAGCTGACTGCATACACAAAACGGGGCCACCCGCTGCCTGTGGGCAAGAGCTTCCTCACACAGATTCAAAAGGCGCGAAGCGAACGGCATCTATCCTCGTTGAAGACAAAGCTCATGTCTAGTAATAGTCATATGTCTGAGGGGGAAGCGCTATTCTCGATGAAAGCAATCGAAGAAGCAACTTCCAACATGGAATTAAACCGCGATGAATATGCGGCGGCTGATATCATCGACCAAATGCAAGCATATTATGATGTAAGAACGAAACAGCAGAAGATTTAGCTTCAGAAAAAAATATGGCGCGTGCTAATTTCTCTCTCGCAGACTGCTATAGTGACCTTCGTCGACAACGTCGCAACTCTGGGCATCGAAAATTGTCTTCTTGACCCTATACAGCGTATTCTGACTAGCCAGGTAATTAACAATATGCACGATGACCAGGTCCGAGAATTAGCCTCCGAGCCATCCTTTACTAGCGACGAGAGAGACCGTTTGGCCAGTGAGGTCGAGAAATTGCAGGCAGGTCTCCGCACTCTCAAGACCTTCAACATCCAAAAGCCTTCATTGAGTGGCCCACCCTCAATTGAAAAGCTGGAAAAACCACGAATCGGCTTTCAGGACATTCGCCCGCCAGTCACAGGGGCAAAATCGACGACTCAGTCGTCACTGTTTTTGAGTCCGCAAGAAGTGAAAAATCTTAAATCACAAACTACAAAGCCCTTTCACGACGAGCAAACCCCAAGTGTCTTTAATTTCACGAGTAAGTCGTCATATTACCAGCTAGGACCTCGCTCATTTGTATGAAAGCCCCGCAAACCCCGTCTTCGAAGGGCTTCGAAAATCCGCCCTTACTAAGTGCGAAAAAACCACCCAAGGCGACTTCGTCAACCAAACTCGACTTCGTGACCAAGAAGCCCAGGGTAAGACTGCCCCAAACTGTTGAGATTTATGAAAAGGGTGGGGAGAAAGCCAAGGTGCCACCACCGGACCCACCCAGCCTGTTCTCCGGAATCTTCATCCCAGATAATAGCCACCAGTAATGTATGCCGAGTATAGTTGAGAATTTAATAGCTTGCCTTGATGATTCTGAATGCAAACAAGGTCAATTGAAGTGGTTATTCTCAAGTATTGCCGGATTTCTGCTCATGTAACATAACTCAGATAGTGTATAGCCCGGGCTATCTCCGATCGTTGGCATTAATATTTATATACACTGTAGATTATCTTCACGAATCAGGAATATATTCAGAGCCATTTGGTGAACTGCTAGGTTGTCGTTTCGTGATAGATTAACCACGGCTGATTCCGTTGCCAACTTTGTCTCTCGTGGCTTATTCGACGGCATATTCCTTGAAATCTTGCCCCAACCCTCGACTTTGCAAATGGTATAAAAGGTTCATCCCCGATGTCGGGTAACGCTCGCATATATTGTACCAGATGGGGTATCCAAGCAATAATTTGTCACTCACACTCCGTATCCTACCGAATTGACAGACTCACCAGGGAGCGAATATACCGCTTGGATTTACGAATATGAAGCCTCAAATGAGCTATGACGATGTGGCATGGGAGCAGTCGGACGAAATCTCGGACACTTGGGTGAATAAATTCCTTAACATCGAGGTGAAGAAAGCAATTGCGCATTTTATTCTCACACATGATTCTGGCGACGACCCCGAATTCAGTATTATCGGAAAAGGCTCGTTTAACATCATCTTGCAAATGAAGTACACGCAAGGGGCGACTGATATTCGCTTCCCGCAACCTGGAGCAATCATTTTCCCCGAGGAAAAGACGAGGAACGAAATTGCTTTGATGCGATACCTGTCAAATCGGACATCAATCCTGGTCCCTTCTGTTCTTCACTCTGGGACACGAGATGAGAGTCCGCTCAGACTCAGCCCTTTTATTATGATGAGCCATATTGAACACACGACAAACATGTATACTGCATTGAATGCACCGAGCTGTCCGGTGGAGAAGCGAGGGTATCTTAATCCAGACATCAATGAAGAGGATCTTTGGAAGCTCTACGCCGAACAAGCTAAAATTCTTCTCAAGCTTGTCAAGCCAGAATTCAGCTTGATAGGGTCGCTGGTGCAGGTGGATGATTGTACTTGGGAAATAGCCAGTCGTCCGTTATCAATGAACATGAACGAGCTCGTTCGTTTGGGGACATTGCCTCGCTCAAAGCTTCCACCACCCAACGCCACTTTCAAGACTACGTCTTCGTACATGGAAGCGTTAGCACAGCTTAATATCCAGCATTTGATCCATCAAAGGAATGATTCAGTAGAATCCGCAGACGACTGTCGGAGGAAGTACATTGCAAGGCAACTGTTCTACAAACTTGCTAAGGAAAAGAGGCTCTTCAGCGCACGCCATGAGCATGGGCCATTCAGGCTCTGGTGTGATGATCTCCGACCAGGGAATATTCTTCTAAATGACGATAAACGAGTGACCGGTGTGGTGGACTGGGAGTTTACCTATGCAGCACCGGTCGAGTTCTCATTCGCACCGCCGTGGTGCCTTCTGATCGAGAATCCAGACGAATGGTCTGAAGGGATCGAGGACTGGAAACGGATATTTGATCAACGTCTCAAGACATTTCTCTCGGCATTACGGCACTGCGAGGATGCCGAGGGTCTGCAAAGCGAGTTTCGACTATCGGATGAAATGAAAAAGAGTTGGGAGACCGGCGACTTCTGGGTGGTGTATGCTGTTTTGCATAGCTTTGCGTTCGATGCGATTTACTGGCTGGAGATTGACAAACGGTATTATGGACCCACCGAGACTGAAGACGTAAGTGAGACATGGAAAGAAAGGGCACAACTCTTGAATGATAGCCAAAGAAATGAGATGGAACAACTGGTGGTGAAGAAGCTTGCCGATATGAAAAATAGGGTATTGGCATGGGACCCAGATGAGTATACCGAAGAATACCGCCAGGTACTGAAGATGAAGAGACTAGAAGAGGCGAGTGAACAGGATTAAGAGCGTGAAATGTGATATTCTATGAGAACGGTCGACGTTGATAGGTCCAGCACCCTGTAGATATAGAGCGATTGAACTTTTATTAGCGTTTTGCCAAGTAACAGTGTCTTTGTCGAAAACATAAATGACAGAAATGAAGAGGGGCGTATATAGTAGTAGGCTGGTTATGATAGCCAAGCAACAGTACATGCAACATTTAGTAGGAAGGCCGGCAGTAACACCGATTTTCATCTCCTTGGGCACCACACAATCAGCATTGGCAGAGACACGATCAGCAGGATACGCCACGAAGTGAGAACCCCCACGGTCAATTCTATCTCAACCATATCCCCGCATACCCTACTAACGATCATCTTACAATTATCGTTGATAGGTTGGCGGAGGAACGCAGTTGTCATCATCGATACAGTCTAGGGGAGTATAACGATCGCCATAAAGGTGTTCGTGCACCAGCGGTACCAATTCCCCCCAAAGACCTCAGGTATAAGGGATCATGACCAGACAGAAGACTGGTACCAATAGGAAACTCTGTAGATAAACGGAGATGGTCTCCTGATCGCCCCGTAAAAGGCCGACCAGATACATGGGCGGACTGAGTGGTGCATGTCCACAGGATAGTCCCTGATCATTAGCATAAAGTATATGGATGTTTCTGACGTCAGCAAAATGAACACTACTTCGTCATGCGGTATATGAAATGTCGCTCACAACAAATGTAGATGTGAGTAGAGCATGGACGTAAGTTACACCATAACACGATCGACTATAATGTGTGCCAATTATGGGGATGGCTGAAAGCTTCCACAAAGCACTCGGATGGTTATACTTGAGAAATACTGGTGTTTCATTCCAAATATTCGATATTGTCGTTTCCTGAGAAACACGATCAGTGTTATTTTGGTACAGGGCCTAACATGGAAAGGGCTGTTAGTTAACTATAAGTCACACATTAGTCAGACTACCTATGAGGAAGGAATATGCACGCTTGCTCCTCAGTCACAATGCTCAGGTGTTGTCGGTGCTGCCGCGATCATGTTGAGTGCTGCAATTTGCAAGATTTCTGGCGCTCATTGTTCCAGATCCGGTTATCATACCCACCATAGCACGACTTTTCTGTCCTTGGATGTTCGGAGATTGCCTGAAGAAGCAGTGCTGCTGCTAAGGGAAGAGGCAAAAACGTGATAGCTTTCACACTGCAGGATGCGTTAGCGACTTATAAATAGCAGAGATAGATGCACAGTTGTCATCTGCGGGGCCCCTTTTGCTCATAGACGTAGAGGCAGCAGATTCAGGCGAACTGCGATAGCAGTCCTGCCAGACAATGGTAACGTGGCTGGGTGAGTGAAGTACCATCGATATGAAGCTTCCGGCGGGTGGTAGTCTAGATTAAGGGCCAAGCTAGGGGATCATTGACTTACCCTTTGCTTCGGACTGTGCAACATAGCCTTATCTGCCCCGTCTTCCAACACAGTGCGGGAAAAAGTCTGGTACTCGTAATAACATAACAACCATCATAATTCTTAGATTAGTAGTCTGAGATTTGAGGAGCCTAATTATGCCTTGCATAGAAGTAGTACTAGTGTTGAGGGATCCCGAACGACCCTGGCGCCCAAGATTGACCGGTGTATAGCTCGTGTGACTGGCCATTATCAACATAATGGTTAAACGAGACTGTTGCCTCAGACGAACAAAGGACATGCCCAAGAGAATGGCTTCTTTCCAGAGCAGTACGGGGAGGGTGGGTTATTTGTCCCGACAGACTGGAGATCAATACGCACTGGACGAATTCCCATGCCACTCAGCCTACAAAACCCAAGCCGAGAACGGCCTCAGATGGAATGTGCGAGTCCGGACCGAGCAGCGACATGTGATGCAGTCAGCAGAGCCGCGGGAAGAAGGAAGAAGTGGTGGGAGTAGAGAAAGAATCTAGTTGCGATTTCCGTGACACATACATTTGGCAAGCTGGACACGGAATGCAACCTTCATAAAATGCGAAAGGGGTTATGACTAGTTTGGGGGTCGATGAGAACCACCAAACGGGCACCGAGAGAGGTGGGGTATGGAAAACGGAAAAGACGGAATCGACTAAAATCGGGAAAATGAGGCGTGAGTCGCGCAATAGGGGAGGTATAGTTGTCCAAGTGAGATAGGCAGGGGGGCGAAAAATTGGAGGTCAATCAATTATCCGCCATAAAATTGCTACAGTTCGCTAGTGACATGCTGAGCACGCTGCCAGCATACAGAGGGCGGAGAAGACGGCTGAGAACTTAAGGCTGTAAGTAGTAGGGCGCAGCCTAGCCGATGTTGCAACCCTAGTATGTGCCGCAGAATGACGAAAAATACGTAGAGTACGATGCGGAACAGCGGGGGTGGTGCATAACAATACACAGGGGTGAACATTCCAGTGTCCGTGTTTATCCGAGAGATGGTTACTAAGTACTAATTCGTTGATTGCCCCCTGGATCATCCGCTTCGTCTGGCTTGCATATTCTCCCTTCCCTAGGCCCCCACTGGATATGTTTCCTATCGCCTGATGCCAAGCTTCCAACGTCGTCCATGTATTGTGATGGCAAGAGTGGCAGTGTGTCACGAATCTACTGCGCTAACCGTACATTCTTTCCTGAGACCGGCGCCTTCTCCAGATGCCGCTTCAAGTCCTCGTTAAAATTGTTAAAGCCCGTCACCATTTTACGGCGACCAACCATCCACAAGGCCCCGCCCAGTAGACCTCCCCATTCCTCGCACTGCACAAAGCGAGTCTTAGTGCTGTCTGCATCGAGCGGCTCAAACTTGAAGCTGTGCAGGCCACTGAACAGCCAGTTCCAAAGAATGTAACCCCGCCAGGTGAAAACACTTGCAGTGTTGACCTCAACGATGGCGGGCCACGGGATGTTGTCGACGGTACATATCAAGTGATCCCCTGGCTTTGCAGCGCCACGCTGCTTGGGGAGATCTATAGATTGATAGAAGCTTGTATGATATGTGGACAGGCTTGCGAAGTCGAGAAACTAGCTTAGGAAGGCGATGAGTTCAGAGCAAAGGTGTGTGAAGGGGGGGCGGGGGAGGAGGGACACCCACGGCCTCTCGCACGGCTGATGGCGCAGCATCAATGACGATCTCTGTGAAGAGCATGATTTGATGTTCCCCCCCTAGTGAAGGCAGTGGTACAAGAGCTTGATCGAATACGATGTGTTGATAGAGGACAGAGAACAAGATACTCTATGGGGCTGGATCGTTATATTTGGAACAGAGCGGGCTGTGTCTGGGTGATCCTCAACTGTCCCTATTTAAAAGCCGGGCGTATTTGACATTGGGTTTCACGGGCGCCCTGATTGAAAGGACTGACCCCACCCACCCTCCTGGTGGGGCCAAGAGCAGGTATCAATTGGTCTACATAATAGTATCCTAGCCATGATGATAGCACATCAGCCATGGTGAGACAATGGCCCCCAAAGCATGAAAGCATGAACGGAGGATACGCGGTTTCTCTGGCGGTGGTGCCGGATGGCAATATGTTCACCTGCAAGATGTCCCGCATCCCCTTTCAAGAGTATATTGAGCTAGTGATACTAGCCTAATTGCAAGCTATATGTAGGTAGGATTTATGTGGTGATTTAGTAATAACTGGATTCCGTGGTAGGCAACGAATGACTAAACCTTACAAAATCCCGCTGCCGCTTATCATTCAATGAATACACCGTCTGCAAGCATGTTCCTTTAAATGTTTACCATACAGGCCATTTCCCCCAACAAGTATACAGGCGCAGGGTGAGAACGCCCAGTAAGCTACCCCCATTCTGCAGCAAGTGGCATCATGTAGATGATGGAAATCCAACAGTTCCAGAATAAGAACGTCGTACGGTCTTCTTCCTCAGTTCGCATTGCCAGGACGCGGCACGCGACGATGCAGGCAAGGCTCATACTGAGTACAAATATCTCCGATGTTAGGTGCCAGAACAGTGGGCATGCCACACCCCAGAACAGCATTGGCACAGCCACTATCCATCGTGCAAGCGTATCTCCAATAACCAACGGCAAGGTCCGACGGCCACGGATGAAATCCCCCTTTTGATCATATAGGTCTTGTAGATGTATGGTGCTGAAGACAACACATGCAATGATCAGAAGCCATTGATCGAGCCGACGGCTTCCTTCAGCATGTATAAGTGGGCTTTGCTGGAATATAGATAGAGGTCTTTCCAAAGAAACTTCCAAAGCACCGGACAGAAAACACGTATATCCCAGGGCATTTATGGCGTTTCGAACTATAGGGTTCTTATCCGCACCACTGAGAGTATTGTACCAAACGTCGAGGGCGAGAAGAATCAACGACTGGCGTCTTCCAATTCCTCCATGCAGCTGGATATGGACCTGAGCCAGAAAGATAAAAACGCCCATTAAGACTAGGGCTTGGGGGGGTGATATGCGCCTTTGGGGCATTGGCCGCCAGGGCTTGTTGACAGCATCTTCCGCAATAGCCGATGGAGTACGCTGGTTATTGATCGAGAAGGGAATGAAGACCAGTGACACCCAGAGAAGAGATGAGAAGGTTCGTCGAAAGAGAAGTGGCAAAGTAATAGATGTCTCATCATCCAAGCCGTAGGAGGTAGTAGCAAGAGAGTTGACTACACCAAATACGGTGCTGGGAAGAACAATAGTTTTGAAATCACTATGAATGAATAGGAAGATGGTATGACATTGATAGGTGAGCCAGTTAAAAGGTCGTATAATGATTTCTGGAAGATAGCATTGCGGCCAAGCAATGCTAAACTCCTGAAGGATCCGGGTTAGCGATCGCCACTGTTGAAGGTGACTGGAATTCTGCAGCTGCTCTTACCTTCCGCAGAGAGATCCTAGGAGTTCTGGAAGCGTAAACCATACCTTCCCAATCAGGAGTATCCGATCAAGTTGTGAATGCACCAAGAAAAGACACCGACGTTGTATGTGCCAGTTTGGCCACTGGCATATAAATGGGCATTAGTTGATCCTTTATATATTACACGTTCTGTCTATGAACCCTCGTTCTTCACGGCAGGGCCACATTACACTACCAGCAAAGCCACAACAGCTTATGAAATTATGGCCCCCGACTGTATGCATGATGGTAGTTCAATGTTGGATTGGCGGTTTCGGAGTACTTGTGAGCCTGCGTGCCTTCCTAGCCTCGCAAACAGACTTAAGAAGGGCCGTAGGATCCCTTCCGAAGACCTCGCCCGGGTTTGATCAAAGTAAACCGACATCGCTCCATCATGCTCACGTTAGAGATTTTCGCTCTTATTGCAGGCCTCTTGGCCCATCAGCTCATCTTCATCCATGGAGAATGGCATTTGAAAATCGCAATGCTCATTCGAGCTCATCTAATCGTGCTTGGGGGTCTACACCTCTATGACAATATGTCTTTCCATTATGGTACTTCGACTTCCATCAATTTACGACCAGAAATAATTATGGTCCTCTATTTCTCTTCTCTTTTTTGCAGCATTATTGTATATCGCCTTTTCTTTCACCGACTGTGTCACTTTCCTGGTCCTCGATTGGCTGCGGCTACCAAGCTCTGGCATGTCTGGAGATGTCGAAGCTCGCGGGGGCATCTTGTCCTCGAAGACTGGTATCATAAGTATGGATCTTTTGTGAGAACTGGTATGGCTCTTTCCTACATTTGCCACCTGCTCACGTGTCTATGGACGCCGTGGCCTTTACACTTATTTTTACCCTTCCTATTCCTTTATCGCAGCTCACCCATTCAGTTATGTGGAGAGTAACTTATACCCCACAGGCCCGGCAGAAGTGACTGTCTATCACCCAGCAGCATACGAAGCAATGGACGGTCCAGGGAACCAGAACACCCGCTCGGACTGGTATGACCTATTATTCCCCCGTATATCGTCTATCTTTACACGGGACCGTGCACTGCACAACACCAGGCGCAGGATCTGGACGCGTGCCACGAGCAGTAGTGGTAAGGGCATCCTTCCGATATCCACTGCGCATATATGTACTAAAGTGTGCCCAGCAATTCGACAATACCAACACCGCATCGTACAGAAGGTGCACAAGCTCAAGTGTCTCATTCTTGCACAGCAGCACCAGCCCATTCTCGTGAATGAGCTCATGTATTGGTTCGCGTTTGACTCCATGGGTGACTTTGCATTCAGCATAAATTTTGGAATGATGGAGAACCAGGAATGGCATCGCTGTATCCTGCTGTTTCGGTCTGCGCTAGCTCTTCTTGGACCATTCAGTCCAGCTATCTGGATTCCACGTCTCGCGTTCACAATCGTGCCGGGTTTGTGGTGGGCGAAGTGGTGGTTCCAGATGCTGGCCTTTTGCGATCAATGCATGGAACAACGGATGTGTCGGACCATCCAGGATAAGGACATCGCTTCTTTCTTCATTGAAGATCATTTCACCAGCGCCGATCAGCGCCGAGAGCAATGGCTGAGTGGTGACACTGCCACTCTCGTGGTTGCAGGCAGTGACACTAATGCACCTACCCTCACACACCTGTTCTATTTTCTGGCTCGCTACCCGGAGCATACTGAACGGATTTACCAGGAGCTGAGAAGTCTTACATCCACAGAGGATGCAGTGGGGTTATCCAAGCTCTCTCACCTGAACGGGGTCATCAATGAAACCCTGCGGTTGCTTCCAGCCGTCCCGACGTTTGGTACGCGGGTTACTCCACCGGAAGGCTTGATGATTGCCGGAACGTTTATCCCAGGCGGGACCAAAATCTGTGCCCCCCGTTATACTATTGGGCGATGTGCGTGTTTGTCTTGTTTTTTTTTTTTTTGTTTTTTTTTTCTGTATCGGCTGCTCGACCTCTAAGCTCCTGTAATATGCTGACAAGACCAATAGTGGAGTCGGCATACGAACGGCCCAATGAGTTTATCCCTGAGCGTTGGTACTGCCAAGAGGAATTGGTTCGCGACCGACGAGCGTTTGCACCATTTGGTATTGGTCAGTACATTGAACCACCCGAGTCTCCTTCTCACTCCAAGTTTGCAAAACCACCTCTGAAATTGTCTCTGACTCATGTCATTTTCGTCACAGGTAATACCAGCTGCGTGGGAAAAAACCTGGCGCTGACACAAATTCGGCTTGTAGTAGCATCACTGGTGATGCAGTATCGGATATCCTTTGCCGCGGCCAGTCCTAATGGCGAACAAGTGGAAAGAGACCTGAAGGATCAGCTTACTGCCAATCCAGGACCGTGTTGGTTAGAGTTCAGCCCAAGGAATTAGGCAGACTGTGAGGGGCGTGAAAAAGGCAAACGATCCCTTTGAGGCTCCTACGGATTTGGCAAATACGATGTAGTAATGCTAGTGTAGAAAAACTGTTTTTGTGACATGATTGATTATTCCAAACGTGAAAGTCTCATTTAAAGCGACGGGACGAAGACAATTGACGGGGATTCCTCGTAACAGGAGTGTAATATTCTTGGGCCGTACTACCGTTATCTCGCCCCCGCGTCTTTATTCCTGCTTTTTTGATCGTCATTTTGGAAGTAGGCTTCTTTTTGGAAGTTGTTCCGGGTAGGAGGTGGGAACGGCAAAGTTGCCTGTCTGTCTTCCTCTCTGTTTGGTTTCCTGCATCTTGTCAATCCGTAAAAAGAACAAATCTGAGGAAAGAACATCCTTACCCTAAAGGGGTAGACCGGGGACAGCACTACCTAATCTAGTGCGGCGCGCGGGAAAGGAGATGACAGGCATCTTAACCGCCCAAATAAACAGTTGAAGAAATGATAGGCCACGGTTGGCCGGCTATATGCAAATAAGAAGCCGTGGGGTCCAAGATCGCACCTCAATGCCCCATCACTCTGTTGCTTTACTTAGACGAAAACCATGGTGCATATGCTGGCGACGGAAGATTCATGGAATATTGATTTTTGGCCTGCGTGGGTATTATCATGGGTCAATTGGGGGCCGTGCTGCCCGGGGTGTGTGCCGGCGTGATCCAATGCTGTTTGACCATCCCAAGTCAGCCGCACGACCGATATTAGACTACCCTATAGGATATCATTCAGGATCTAGGTCCGTCCATACGCAGTAGTGGGAGCGAATGAGGAGGGGAAAATGCAGTTGACCTTCACGGCCCGACGGATAGAAGATCTTCTCGGCCCAGACCGGTGACTTGGCAGGGCGGGTGGGCATCATGGATCGGGTGCACTGGGTGGTTGTTCTACAGTCAATACTTACTACTACTAGTGAATTCAAAGGGAAATTGGTAATGAAAATTTAGGAAGTGGGTCCCGAAGAACCTACTGACCCAACTAGATTTTCAAGACCACTTTCTGAATAAGGAATGTTGCACCTACGGCTGCATGTAATCCCCGCCATGCATGCATTGTCTTCCCGTGGCGGCCAGCCATGACAAACTACTCCTATGCAGCAAACACCACGACAGACGCGAGGCAGCAACACCTCGAAGGTCTCTCACTTTGCATTATCGCTGAAACATCGCCAATAGCGCTTTTTGTTGGTTCACCTTATTGATGACATTCTGTTGGTTGCGGAAGACGGCGAGATACACCCGTCTCCCGTCTCCCGCCTTACCCCAATAGCCTGCATTCATCTGCAGATGCATCCAGCTTAGCCACCATCCACTTGAATGGTTTCTATGCTTGTGGAACAGTGCAGTAGAAGGCGGAACAGATTCTCAAATTGGTCAAGGGCGGGAAATGCATTTTCAGCTCGCTTCTCTAAGCCGCTTGAGACATCAAACGTGCGCTCAGATCCTTTCAGTAAGGCCGCGTTGTCCAAGTTGGTGAGAACGTGGTATGTATTTACGGACTAATCAAAAATTACCCAATTCCAAGGAAGCGGTCGATTAAAATCTGCCCACTGTCAGGGTTGTCTGTCACTATACTGTATGTAAAGGAGGGGTGAAGTGGCCCTGTTCTAAGAAGCCCTCTGACGTTCTATATTGCCTCACATTATCATTCAGTTCAGCGGCATTACTGGTGAATTTCAGCTAGGCTAAGGTGATGTGCGTTGGGACTTCGTTCTACGGGTCCTATACCTCACTAAGCCCCTGCCTAGCCTCTTCCCGCTGCACCGAAACATCAGTTCTGATCTCGATCATGCTACCCACCGAATAGCCCCTGCCGGGAGTAAGCTCTCTCGCATCCCATTCCTCTCCTCTGGAAGCTCCCTGCCTCACGGCCCCAATCTTCCCTGTGTACACTTGGTCTTGACTGCGGTGCACCAACTCTGTAGTCGACGCAGATTGATCCACACCTTGTTGCCCTGACACATTCCGCTTCTGAGGACTACCCCCAATTGTGTATTCTGCCCTATCCACTCCCGCTCGATGACGCTGTGCATCGCTCGCTTCCTTCTTCGACGTGAGTCTTAGGTAGGCTAGGCGCGGTGCCACATGCCGCTGAAACAGCGGTGCGATTGGGGGCAGGCTGACGACTATGAGACTGAGCCAGATTTCCAACGCACTAGGGAGAAGAATCTGACAGGTGCTGATTGAGAAGTCGGAGGCTGAGTGAACGGTTAAGACCAGTCGCCAAATTAACACAGCGACAACGCTATGCCGAAGTCTGGTGTTAGTATATTGCATTTCAAGTGCCAATAAAGTCCAAACTACCCGCTAGAACATACCTTAAGCCCAATGAGAACATCACCACAATAGTAATCTTCTTTTGAAGCGGCATCCTCAGCTTCCAAATGACTGGGATTGGAAGAACTGCGACAAGGCCATCAAGAAGGATATTGACAGCGATGATGATAGGTTCCTCGAGCGCGAGATCTCGACATCCGCCACCGGGTACGGGATTCCACCCATAAGACAGTGGGTGACAGTTTGTAAGGAACAGCGGCAGAAGTACCAGAAAATAGATAGTCACGATAGCGCTGGTGACATATATGACGGTCCGAAATTGGCGCGAAACACCGAATAAGGTGAGGTAGAGGGAGAGCATAGAAAGTTTACATCCGACGCTGCTGAAGAGCCAGGTCACAGAAGCAGCAGTGAAGAACTGCATGTGTGTATGTTGGACGCTCATCAGTTTGTTGACCTATGACTCCTGGTATAAGAAACTCATGCCGAGTAAACGTACCTTCCATATGACCCCGACCTCGTACGTGGTGAGGTCGGCAGCGGGATTGCCCAGGCCGTTGAAGACACACCACCATTCACACACTGCTTTTGATATAAGGCTAACCTAGAGAAGGGTTGGCAATGGCCAATCAAGAGGGTAATAGCCAAAGTGAGGACAACTGACATAAGCAACAAGCATCATATAATCCGGAAGGCGCACCCCCTTGCGGTCGGCATAGTTTGCCCAGAGCCGTAGGGCGACAATGGTTGTGGTAAGGCAATTGAAACAAACATTCCAAACAAGAAATGAGATACCGCAAGAACTGAGAGGCATTGTGGGTGTCAAAAGAGGTAGACTGGTTGACAGGAAGAGGAGCTATGTACAGAAAGAGGGAGGCGAATCCTTTGAACTGCGATTCGCTTTATAAAGTAGATGACTTGTCTTTATCACAGGCTTGGCCACTCGTGTGACAAGAGGTGCGTCCATTGGGGCTGAGCTGCCGGAAAGGTCGCAGGCACGGAACACTTGGATGGCGTGAAACTGACATGCAGTAGCTTGACAGATGTCGATCACAAGTTATCGTAGAATGCTGTTCTTAGCAAATATTGAAACCAGAAAACAGTGGAAGATGGAGGAGAAGTAGGTGGGGGCGGTTGTGACACGGATCACGCAAACAATATACTAGAGTCTGCAAGTTTCATTGAACAGCGGCAGGTCAAACATACCTGGTGTGGTATCGTGGATTACTATCATACTGTAAGGGGTAGTTCCCTGCTCCATGAAGATCACTCTGCCGTATTGGCCCATGTGCCCGATCAGCTCGGCCAAGTCCGGGCGATTCCTCAGCTTAGTCTCTCAAGAGCCTACCCACAGGCTGCATGTCATGGTTGGGTTTCATACCCAAACCCCGACTGAGGACGCAGATGGCTAACTGGTGACATTTAAGGAGCCTGTTTCGACCCATATTTACAACGGAAAGCATAGCACTTCCAGACTTTGCCGGCATTCGCAGTAGCGGTCCCAGCTATGCCAGATACGTACAGCAAGAATATGCCTCGCAATGAGGCAGAGGCAGAAAGGTATATATAGTCATTGATGCTTGGACTAGTATCTCTAACAGACTCGTTATCACCAGGCTCAATGAGCAATTCGACCTGACAACCCAGTTGGTTCACCTACTTCCACGCTTGCTAAGCCTAGCCGTCCTTTGTGAAGGTTCCTGACTAATCTATTAAGGAACATCGGATACCTTATACACCCGAACATTAGTGCAGCTCTACCACCAACCTCCCGCATCGCTGACATTGCCACTGGTACCGGCATCTTTCTGCAGAAACTCGCAGAAATCTATCCCGAGGCGACCTTACATGGCTCCGACATCTCGACTGCTCTCTTCCCTCCAGCAACCACCCTCCCACCAAACGTACAGCTCTTTCCACTTGACGTGCTCGAACCCGTTCCGGAACACCTGGTCGGCACTTATGACCTTGTCCACGTGCGCCTTATAGTAGCCGGCCTGCTTCCATCTAGCTGGAGCGGAGTAGTGAAGAACCTATGCCGCCTCTTGAAGCCTGGTGGTGCACTGCAGTGGGAGGAGTGTAATTTTGGCAGTGCATGGCATTTGCGTGGCGGAGAAAATACAACCTGTTCTGCAGCACGACGCTTAAGCAAATTATTTAGGGATGGCATAGGTGAACAGTTACGGTACGGATGGGACTCTTTGGACAATAACATGCTCTCTGCTGGGCTTGTCAATGTTGGCCATGATATGGTTAGCTCTGACAGGATTCCTGGGACGCGCAAGGCCGTTTCGAAAAATGGCATGGTTGCTCTAATATCGTTTGCGAGGAAACGAGGTGGCATTCCACCAGAAGAGCTCGAGTCCGTTGTTGAGCAGGCTTATAAGGACATCGATTCGGGATGTTATGTTCGCTACGATACGCACATCTTTTGGGGTTTCAGGCCCAAGAGTTCCTAAGACCAGGTCATATTGTTGTTGTTGATATCATGTATCGTACATTCCGAAGACAAATATCATGGTCCTTCCAAGACCACTATATAGCCGAACTGATCATCGTAATACCTTACTGGCAGGAGGCCCTATTCTGTATGCCGAGTGATATATACCTTTACAGTCCTCCGGCGACGTAGCTATTGTACTGGTAATTCGGGTAAGCTTAACAGGGGATAGAA